CTTGGAGAATTTTGAGCATTACTTTACTAGTGTGTGAGATGAGTGCAATTGTGCAGTAGTTTGAGCATTCTTTGGGATTGCCTTTCTTTGGGATTGGAATGAAAACTGACCTTTTCCAGTCATGTGGCCACTGCTAAGTTTTCCAAATTTGCTGGCATATTGAGTGCAGCACTTTCACAGCATCATCTTTCAGGATTTGAAATAGCTCAACTGGAATTCCATCACCTCCACTAGCTTTGTTTGTAATGATGCTTCCTAAGGCCCACCTGACTTCACATTCCAGGATGTCTGGCTCTAGGTGAGTGATCACACCATCATGATTATCTGGGTCATGAAGATCTTTTTTGTACAGTCCTAGAGAGGAGGTACCCCACGCCCAAGGCCAGGGGTGGTGGCCCGAGAGGAGCTACCCCACATCCAAGGAGCGGATGCACTGGGCGCAAGAGGGCCGAGAGGAGCTACTCCACGTCCAAGGTCAGGAGGGGTGGCTGTGAGGAGATACCCCTCATCCAAGCTAAGAAGCAGCGGCTGCGCTTTGCTGGAGCAGCCGTAAAGAGATATCCCATGTCCAAAGTAAGAGAAACCCAAGTAAGACGGTAGGTGTTGTGAGACAGCATCAGAGGGCAGACACACTGAAACCACAATCACATAAAACGAGCCAATCTGATCCCAGGACCACAGCCTTGTCTAACTCAATGAAACTAAGTCATGCCATGTGGGGCCACCCAAGACGGTCGGGTCATGGTGGAGAGGTCTGACAGAATGTGGTCCACTGGAGAAGGGAACGGCAAACCACTTCAGTGTTCTTGCCTTGAGAATCCTATGAACATTATGAAAAAGCAAAATGATAGGATACTGAAAGAGGAACTCCCCAGGTCGGTAGGTGCCCAATATGCTACTGGAGATCAGTGGAGAAATAACTCCAGAAAGAATGAAGGGATGGAGCCAAAGCAAAAACAATACCCAGTTGTGGATGTGACTGGTGATAGAAGCAAGGTCCGATGCTGTAAAGAGCAATATTGCATAGGAACCTGGAATGTTAGGTCCATGAATCAAGGCAATCTGGAAGTGGTCAACCAGGAGATGGCAAGAGTGAACATCGACATTTTAGGCATCAGTGAACTAAAATGGACTGGAATGGGCAAATTTAACTCAGATGACTATTATATCTACTACCGTGGGCAAGAACCCCTTAGGAAAAATGGAGTAGCCATCATAGTCAACTAAAGAGCCTGAAATGCAGTACTTGGGTGCAGTCTCAAAAATGACAGAATGATCTGTGTTCATTTCCAAGGCAAACCATTCAATATCACAGTAATCCAAGTCTATGCCCAAACCAGTAATGCTGAAGAAGCTGAAGTTGAATGATTCAATGAAGAAATGCAGTGCTTGGGTGCAATCTCAAAAATGACAGAATGATCTGTGTTCGTTTCCAAGGCAAACCATTCAATATCACGGTAATCCAAGTCTATGCCCCGACCAGTAATGCTGAAGAAGCTGAAATTGAATGTATCTATTAAGACCTATAGGACCTTCTAGAACTAACACCCCAAAAAGATGTCCTTTTCATTATAGGGGACTGGAATGCAAAAGTAGGAAGTCAAGAAACACCTGGAGTAAAAAAAAAAAAAAAAAGAAAGAAACACCTGGAGTAACAGGCAAATTTGGCCTTGGAGTACAGAATGAAGCAGGGCAAAGGCAAATAGAGTTTTGCCAAGGGAACACACTGGTCATAGTAAACACCCTCTTCCAACAACACAAGAGAAGACTCTACACATGAACATCACCAGATAGTCAACACCGAAATCATGTTGATTATATTCTTTGCAGCCAAAGACGAAGAAGCTCCATACAGTCAGCAAAAACAAGACCAGGAGCTGACTGTGGCTCAGATCATGAACTCCTTATTGCCCAATTCAGACTTAAATTGAAGAAAGTAGGGAAAACCACTAGACCATTCAGGTATGACCTAAATCAAATCCCTTATGACTATACAGTGGAAGTGAGAAATAGATTTAAGGGACTAGATCTGATAGACAGAGTGACTGATGAACTATGGACGGAGGTTTGTGACATTGTACAGGAGACAGGGATCAAGACCATCCCCATGGAAAAGAAATGCAAAAAGGCAAAATGGTTGTGTGAGGAGGCCTTACAAATAGCTGAGAAAAGAAGAGAAGCAAAAAGCAAAGGAGAAAAAGAAAGATATTCCCATTTGAATGCAGAGCTCCAAATAATAGCAAGGAGAGATAAGAAAGCCTTCCTCAGCAATCAATGCAAAGAAATAGAGGAAAACAACAGAAAGGGAAAGACTAGAGATCTCTTCAAGAAAATTAGAAAAATAAAAAAAAGAAAAAGAAAAGAAAACTAGAGATACCAAGGGAACATTTCATGCAAAGATGGGTTCGATAAAGGACAGAAATGGTAGGTTCATAGAGTATAAATGTATCACTCTGGTGTTGGGACGGTGACAGTGGTGGAGGCTGTGTGTGCTAGACAGAGGATATGAGAACTCTGTTCTTTCCACTCCATTTTGCTGTGAACCTAAAAGTGCTCTAAAATTAAAGTTTCCTCACTAAAAAAATCCTTCTCTTTTAGAGATACATAATGAAATATTTATGGACAAGATGTTGTGATCTGCATCAAAACAAAATGTTGGAGAGAAGTGGGCAGGGTATAAATGAAAGAGGATTGAGAATTCAGCTGATAATAGAAACAGGGTGAAGGATATGTGGGGGTTTATTATGCTACTCCCCATCTCTGTCTATGTTTGAAAATCTTCAGTATTATTAAGACAAATGGGACAGATCTACAATTTCTTTGGACTTCTACTTTGGTGAAAATAGAGGAATAGGGTGGGATGATGAGAGAAAACAGATAGCCTGGAGCTTAGAAGTATGATTTGTAATTGGACAAGATCTAGACTAGAGGAGGCAGGAAGGAAGACATAGGGCAAAGGACAGTATAGGAGATGGAAAGGGAAGGAAGGACAGAAAAGGAATGTGGACTCACTGCCTTGCCCACACTTTCTCTCTTCCCCTTGTCCTCACTCACTCCTTACCTTTCCTCTCTGTAGGTGAAAAATCATATTGGGAACTTAACAGTGAACATTTTAGGCCCCAATCCATGAAATTTCAATTCAGTCAGCATGGCCTTAGAATCTACATTTCAACATGTGCTGTAGGAGATTGGATGGGTACCTGAACCTCCCTTGAGCCCCAATACCTGGCTTCTGTGAGAAGCATGTTATTTCTGTCACTAACCTTTACTCTGCCAGACTGGAGACCAAATCACTCTGCCTTTCAAAGCCTCTGTGATGTGGTCCACTGTTTCAAAGCAGGAAAAAATAAAGGGGATGATAGGTTAAGCAAAAAGAAGTTGTTTATTGATTTCCTCTAATGTATGTGAGGATACATGCAAATGCTAAAGGTCTCTTGAGTGGGAAAAAGAAATTCATTAGCCTGCTCTGACTTGAAAGACATACCCTTTAAGACCTTCTAACATTTTGTGCTAACGTTCTCTGATTTTATATTCACTGAACAACCTTTTGATGTTTAATGGAATTCTACCAAGAATTAAAAAACAAAAACAAAAGCACTTACCAGTTGCCTCAAGTGATATGGTCCTCTTGGTAGTTCTACCTTTCATCATCAATTTTAATCAACTGCCTTTTGCTTCCCAGATTTCCTGAAAGCCTGTATTCAGAAGATGATAAATTCAATCTTTAGTACTGGGTAAGGTAATGCATCAGTCCATGGAACTGAGCTGGAACTGAGCACAGGGCTGTCGTCACACATTAGGGGTAACTCAGCAACTCCTTTACCCACACGTTCTTGGTCACATCCCTCCAACTAGGGAAAGAATTTTAAATTATAACAAAGTAATCAGGATGCACCCTTACTTACCTAGATTCCAGCACCTGCTCAAGCACAGGAGTCTTGAGATGGTGGGACCAGCCAAGCTGGAAGAGGAGTTCTGAAGCAAATAAGGCAATCTCTCTGTCCCTGGTCCTTGATGCTGCCAGGGACATTCCCATGGACTGATGTGCCGTCCTCTGCCTCCTCTGATATAAGGAGGAGATAGGAAAGAACTACAGCAACTGGAGCCCCCACTCTCCCACAGAACAAACTGTGACTAGTCAGACTCAGTTCTTCAGTTCAAAATATCCTCCCTCCTTGACCCACCCCCCTACCAAATCCCATCAGTGAAGAGCAGAAGAAAAGGAGGCAAAGGCCTAAAGCCTTCTGGATGCCTTTCTGTTCCCACTTGTAACCTGTGTGGTACAGAATTGTTCTTTGAACCATAACTAGCCAGGGGCCTGCTGGCATTCATTCAGGCCTGTCTCTAGCTGACATTTCCTGGCTCCCAAGAGGTTAGAAAGAAAGCCTCTTCTTGTCCCCTCAAAGACCTCCATGAAGCATAGGCTGCTATGGGGACACCGGGTGGCCAGAGGTGAGGTGGGCAAGGACCCATGATGCCTCACAGAAAAACCTAAGTGCAAATCCTCAGCAGTGACCTTGGCCAGGGCAAGGGAACTGACTGAAGCCTCTCCCTGCCTCCCTCAAAGGCTGCTGCTGCTGCTGCTAAGTCACTTCAGTCGTGTCCGACTCTGTGCGAGAGACAAAGGGAGCATCCGGGCTGAGGAGACCAAGAGGGAAAGTCTTGATGTGGAAATTGGCTCACGTCAGCTACGAAAAACACAGTATGCTTAGTATGGGCACTACTCAAGCAGGAATTACTTCAAAAAGTAGGAAGAGGGGTCTGTCAGCTGGTTCAGAGGATATGAGTGAGGGGTCTGAAGACGGACGGGGAAGAGGGGCAGATATCAGTGAGGGTCAAGCTGGTGCACGAACGGGCCCAGCTGAGTGAGGAGACAGACTGTGAATAGGTCACGGGGTTACGCAGATAATTGAGGCCCAAGCGTCAACGAGAGGCAGGAGGGCAGGAGGCCAGAAACAAAAAAGGAAGAGCCCGAGAACGGGGAAAGAGAGAAGAGGCGGTCACAACCCAGGGCCCGGCGAAGTCGAGGTCGTGTGGGGAGAGGAATCGGTGGCGGCCGTCGCAAAATCTTTGCGATGAGGGGCACTGAGCAAGACGAGCCGAGTAGCTTCTCGCTGATGTAGCGCTCCGCCCACAAAGTCCTTAAAGCCCCGCCCCAAGCACCTCGCGCAACCCGGGCGCTGAGTTCCTTTTCGTCGCGCGGCCCTGTAGTTCCGGCTGCTGCGCGCGGGCGGAAAGTTTTTGCGGACGGACTGAGTCGGTGATGGGCGCGGCGTGAGTGGAGGAGGCCGGAGACTGTAGGCTGCTTTTGATTGCTTGTTACAGCTGCAGGAGAAGGGGTCCGCGGCGGGGAACAGCGCGGGGCCAACGCCCGGCTTTTCCGCTGCCTGGGTGCCAGTTCTGCGCCTTTCTTCGTTCTGCGGCGCCGGAGCTCCGCACAAGCACACCATTGCGGGCCCCTGCTCAGGCCCCCTTCGCCTCCTCTTCTCATAGAAGAGACTTCTAGATCTCAAACATTTTTGAGTGATTTTTAAGGTAAAAACACAACTCCAAACAGACGCGATCCAAATGCAGGAGTTCTGTATTTCCAGGTTGTTACTTGAGAGGTGAAGTTGTACCTGAGAAAGGTGGAGGGAACTCAACCAGGCAAGGGATGCCAGGCCAACAGAGAAACTTAAGAGTAGGTTAGTGGATCCCTAGAAATTCGAGTGGAATCTCGCCTTAAGTGCGGTAAGAATCAGTTCTTTATGAATAAGCTAATTGTCTCCTTCTGGTAAGAATTATAAATATGTAGCTGATGGAGATGGCCACATCAAGGGACTAAGAGCTTTTCTCAAGAGTAGACTGTTCTGGGAAAAGAAGACTACCAGTTGTCTTAAGCATCGTTTGTAAACAGTACTTATGACAGAAGTGTGGGGGTGGGGTGGAAGGTAAGACTCAACCCAAGAGAGAAATAACGTGTTTTCACAGAATTGCTGAACTGTGTGGGGAGGGATTTTTTTCCATTTTAATCAGGCCTAGGCTGCTTGAGTGAACCATTCTTCAAGAATATTCACTTCCATCTTTTACTTCTGTGCTTACAACCTGAGTTCCGAATTAATTTCCTATGACTCTGCTATTGTTAAGGAGGTGTGTTTGGGGGTGGACACACACCTATCAGTCAGAAGAAAGAGCCAGCTCCAGAGGTGCCTTCCTAGAAGGCAAGACTGCAAGCTGTGATCACCCATTCCAGTATTACAGCAGATTTCATGAGCTGGATGGAAATGCTTTCTTATATATGATCTAAATCTGTGTCCCCTGATTCTCATTCTCCTAAGAGATGAGGTCAGTACTGCTCATCCCCAACTTTCAGTAACTTGCATAAAGGCCTCTATACTTGAGTGGGAATACCATAGCAGGTGGATAAACTCTGTGTAGGCAGATGCACAGAAGTTCCTGATACCTCTGCTTGAAGGAGGAGAGGAGGAAGTGTGTTTCTGGTGTGCAGAGTTAAAATTTGTAATGTATTTTGCCAAAAATTAATGTTATAGCTGGTGCTGAGAGGTAGTTCACTAGTAATTATCAAGTTTTGTCAAATCCATACTATGTGCCAGTTGTGGGAAAGTCTTTTGTTCCTTTTTTTTTAATTTGTTGTTTGTTTGTTTTTTTGCCACACTGCCTGTGGAATCTTAATTCCCTGACCAGAGATCTAACCCACGTCCCCTGCAGTGGAAGCCGGGAATCTTAACCATTGGACCACCAGGGAGGTTCTGATATGATAGGTTCTTCAGAGACACTGATGGGCAAGAACTCACACTGCCCCTGCTCCTGTTGAGCTTGTGGTCAATGTACTGTAGTTGAACCAGGATTGCACAGAACCTCACTTGTTGAACAACACAGCTGAGGTCGAAAAAGGGTCTGGAAAGATGAGTAGATGAAATAGTACTAAGTTAATAAGCTTTAGTGCATGCATTTGACTCTCGAAGAAACTCTCTGAGCCTGTGAACTTTGGACACAGTTTTAACAAGCTGGATTACCTGGCTTTCTAGCTCATAGTCGCCAAAAGCCCAAAATTGAAAAGAAGGATGATTACAGAGGCAAGTAGAATGCAAACTGATGGTCCAAAAATTAGTTATGAAGAGGAGGCATCAAAACACAACAGCCTGGATCCCTTGAGTAAAAGGCAATGTTTCTGGATTTGTTCTACATAATACTTGTTCCATGGGACATTAACGGATGATCAGAGGAGAGTTAAATGGGAAGTACAGAGTTAGCAAATTAAACTGAATTCTTTGCTGTAGAGTTTCTGTGTCTTTTTTATTTATTTTTGGCTGTACTAGGTCTTTGTTACTGTGTGGGCTTTTTTCTAGTTGCAGCAAGAGGGAGCCCCTCTTTGTTGCAGTGCCAGGGCTTCTCATTGCGGTGGCTTCTCGTTGCAGAGCAAGACTGTGGGATGCACGGGCTTCAGTAGTTGCGGTTCCTGGCTTTAGGGCACAGGCTCAATATTTGTAGCACACGGGCTTAGTTGCTGCGTGTTATGTGGGACCTGCCCAGACCAGAGCTTGCACCCATGTCTCCTACTTTGGCAGGTGGATTCTTTACCACTGAGCCACCAGGGAAGCCCTCGGTATCTTTAATAAGAACTGAACTCATTTTTCTTGGAGCATCCATCCAGGATAGTGTTTTGCAGCACACACTTGGAACAATGGCAGTATAATTTAAAACATCAGTCAGCACTGTGCTGGGCAGTATTAATGTTTATAGTTGTGATGCTAAATCAGAATGAATTATGTTTAGCACACTGTATTTAATGAGGCACAGATTATGGATGCACATTTTAATTTTTTCTATCAAAATGGTTAAACATTTTGGAATTCTGAGTCTGAAGGAGTAATCTCTTTTAGTCTTTATTGGTATTGAATACATGAGTCATCACTGTATTTGAAATGTATCTAGGCCATTATGTGGTAAAAAGGCTTTTCCTACTTAATCTGAGCCCCTGATCCCCCTTTATAACATTGTTTCTGTGAGCCCTAATGTCCTGAATTCCCAACAGCCTTTTTACAAATAGAATTTGAGAATATCACATATTTGCAGTTGGACACGGTACTAAAACACTCAGTGTTTTGAAGTAAGTTCCAAGAAAGAAATTAGTGAAGATTAAATTTCTAACTTATTTATGTCCATCTTGAGACTTCTCTAATTGAATATATGCAATATGGTTTTCATGAAGTTGTAATCAGTGTGTAAATATAGCCTTATGACCTGCTTTTCTCAGTTGCTGATACTTTATATAAATATTTCTGATATTGATGTGTGTCATGATATTTATACTATTTATACTAATGACTATTTATGTCATTTATACTATATGATATTTCACTGTGTGACTAGACTAGTTTTCTTAATAATAGAGTAGCGGCAGCAACAGCAGGTCTATATATCTGTAAACTTTTTTATTTCTGAGCACAGAAATGTTTTCTTCATACTGATTCTCAATTCATAATTTTAAAGAGCTTTTTGTTTTATCTGTGTCTTTTCCATTTTGACTTTCATACAGTTTCATGAGATAATGCCAGCTGTCATACATATCCCTTTTTATTATTATTTATTTTATTTATTTATTTTTGACTGTCCCGGGTCTTCGTTGCAGTACTCGGGCTTTCTCTAGTTGCAGTGGTCTCAGCAGCTGCAGCTCATAGGCTTAGTCGCCCATGGGCATGTGGAATCTTCCCAGACCAGGGATCAAACCCATGGCCCCCTGCATTGGCAGGAGGATTCTTTAACACTAGAACCACTAGGGAAGCCCCCTGTCATACATATTCTTTAATTTTGTTCTTTTCCTTCATATTTAAAACACCATTGCTGGTGTGTCTGTAATGAGTACTGCTGAGGTAGTTGTTTGGTTTTGTCATGCTTAATGATTTCCAGCTTTGTCTGGTTTGGACTATAACTTTACTAGCCCTTTCACTGTATATTTTGCATTCAGTTTTTTTAATGAGGACATCAAGCAACAAGATAATTCAGCAAACACTTGCCCAAATACTGCTGTATTGAGTAGGATAGTGATGGTGCCCCCAAAAATGGTTGATTGTCAGAAAATACAACAAGACAACTAGAAATGTTCTAGAAATGTTCTTTAGTAAATTAAGTGTTGGAGAGGTCATGTAGGAATGTTTCTTATTTTAAGTTGTATGACATTTGAAAATTTTCAACTCAGGGGCTACTTGAATTTAATATTTTGTTTTATTTTATTTTTACTAGCGATAACTTAAGATGATCCTTGATTTATGGCCATTTAGTGGGTGATTCTTGGGAGTGGTCCTCATAGAGAGGACCTAGAGCAGCAAAGCTGCTTGCTTCCCTCACACTGACGTCCCTGCAGATTTGCCCTTACCTCAACTTAACGGGGTTTGTCTTCACTTATTTCTAGCAAGTTTGGTTAAAATTATGATGAAAAGTAAAGAATCTGCCTGCAACACAGGAGACCCAAGTTCGATTCCTGTATTGGGAAGATCCCCTGGAGAAGGGATTGGCAACCCACTCCAGTATTATTGCCTGGAGAATTCCATGGACAGAGGAGCCTCACAGTCCACAAAGTTGCAAATAGTCAGACATGACTGAGCGACTAACACACACACACACACACACACACACACGATGAAAAAAACACATTTTTTTCCATGACATGAAAGACTTAATTATGTCTGTTTTCTGCAGCATTTCTCTATCTATAGCTTTCTGTTTGCATTCGGATTGGGACTACCAGGATCGCTTTCATCATGCCTACAGTGGTGGTAATGGACGTGTCTCTTTCCATGACCCGGCCTGTGTCTGTCGAGGGGTCAGAGGAATACCAGCGCAAGCACCTGGCCGCCCATGGTTTGACAATGCTGTTTGAGCATATGGCCACAAATTACAAGCTTGAGTTTACAGCCCTGGTGGTCTTTTCATCCCTCTGGGAGTTGATGGTTCCCTTCACAAGAGATTATAACACCCTACAGGTACTAAAAGGAATGAGGGCCCAAATTTATAGGAAGGAAAACCGTGTTATTGTACTGCCCTGAATATTTATAATTGGGATTGCTTAATGATAAGTCTCTGAGCATACTATTCTGAATATAACTATAAAACGAGGATTATAGCCAGTAGGCCCTCAGCCTTTGGTAGAGCTCTGAGTTAGAGCTGTGAGCTGTTGCCGTAGTAACCTCTCTTGGTTTTCTGAAATTCTCTGTGGGAGGGGAACATCTCAGGATGTAGTGCCCTGTTCCCTAAGGCTCAGGATCTTTATTCAACACTACTATTTTCTGCTTTTCTATAAACTTGAGATGAAAAATAGCCCTTCCTTACAAAAGCCTTCATTCTAGAGTAATTCAGGAGTATATTTCCTCCCCAACAAATAGCCTCTGATTTACAGATGCCAAGAAATACTCATTTTAAAACTTTGATTGATTGGTGTTACCTTCCAAAGGTTTGTCTGTGATATGCCAAAGAATTTACTTTCTGGCAACATCTCTAAATTATTAATGTTTCCAACAATGCCTCACGAAGTTCCTTGTGGATAGGGAGCAGCAGTCAGTGTTTGTGGAATTAAAATGAACAATTTAATAATTGATTCAGGATCAGTGTAGTTTGCTTTTTAAATATAAGTAGTAACATTTTGTTAAATCACTTATCTCACTTTTTTTAAAAGTGACTCAAAGTTGTTTTTTTAATTGCACCGGATTTCTTATAAGGAAGTAAACTAAGGACCTTGGATGTTTAGTAGTTTGAAATGTAAAGAGTTGCTGTATAGATAGTGCAGAGTGATGATTAAGACCAGGAGTCTTAGAGTCTGACTGACTGGGTTCAGATCTAGATTCTGCCACTTGGGCATAAGACCTGGGAAAGTTACCTAATCATTTTGTACCTTAGTTTCCTTAGTTTAAAAACAGGTTAATCATCTACACCTTATAGGATGTTATCATGATTAAATGCATGTAAAATGCCTAAGATGGTGATAGTATTCAGTGAATTTTGCATTATTTTTGTGATGTGCTTAAACATTTTTCATTTTAACTATTCTGTCAATCTCATTTACAAAGATATGAACTTAATGGACTCTTCAGTCTCACCTGATGAGAGGACAAAATAAAGGGAAGCTCTTTCTTATCATCCTTTACAGTTGAAGAAGTCTGTTTTACCAATTTTCTTTAAGAAAGTGTACTTTGGGCTCTCGGAAATGCAGTGTCCCCTGTGTGACATTCATGCTTCGAACAGTTTATGTTTTTTTCTAGTAACAAACTAAAACAGTAAGGAATAATGAACAATTTTATCTTTCATTCAATCAGGAAGCACTAAGTAATATGGATGATTATGATAAAACCTGCTTGGAGTCTGCATTAGTTGGTGTTTGCAATATCGTTCAGCAAGAATGGGGTGGTGCAATTCCTTGTCAGGTAAAAGATTAATTCTTTTTCTTTGCCCTAAGTTAAAAGCATTAACCACTGAGGTGCTTCAGTTTTCCTCAGGCTCTGACACAGCATGCATTGTAATTTCCACAAACAATCATATATGTTGTTGGTATCTTTTTAAAAGAAGATACCAAATCAACACCAGTATACTCGGAAAGCAGTGCAATTATGCCTTAAGAAAAGCATCCTCCTAGTAAATTGGCTCATTGAAAACTGCTGTTATTTGTATAAAATACAGAGGGCTCACAGTGGAATTTTAGAACACTCTCTGAAAGGGGTGATTATAGTTCTGAGTGATAGAGTTGTAAACATCTGTACAATGTAGTCTGTCTGCATTATTCCAGTGTACCATTTATTCAGCACACTTTTAATCTTCTCAACTATTGACTCATCTAAAAAGTGAGGTGTATCAGTGTCATAAAATCGGTTACCCTTTCCTTCCAGTCCATGATAGGTCTGCATTAGCAACAAATCAGAGCAGAGTTGTAGAAGTTGAACATTTGCCATAAAGAGGTACTTTGAGAAGTGGTTTATTTTAAAGGAGACAGCAGTAAAGTTGCTACAAGGAAAATCATAATAGTCTACAACAGGAGTCAGGAAACTGTCTGTATTTTAGCCTTTGCAGGTCTGTGGCGGCTCCTCAGCTCTGTTGCAACACAGAAACAGCCATAGATAATAGTAAATAAATGAGTGTGGCTCTGTTCCAGTAAACTTTGCTTACAGAAATAGTCAGTGGACCATAGTACATGAGTTTTTACTATAGTGTCAAATACAGAATTCCTCAGTAGTGTCAGTAGCATCAATTATATTTGTTTTTTAAATAAATATAAGATTATAGCTGCCTACAATCTACCCCAATCTACAATTGGAAAGACTAGCGATTGACCTAAGTAAAGCATGAAGGAGTATGAGAAGTGATGGGACTGCTCTGTGTCTTGATTGTGAAAGTGGCTACGTGGCTGAATGCACTTGTTGGAACTCATAGAACTATATACAAATAAGGGTGAATTCTATTGCATGTAAATTGTATCTCAGTAAACCCAGCCTTTTTTTTTTAAGCTTTTTTCTCTTTTCTTACTGTAAAGCCATCCTATTTATAGAGGATGAAGTCATGAGTTAGTGAAGACCCTGAGCTACCACAATAAGGTTAAAAATCAGATCGCTTTAGTGGACACTTGCTAAAAAAAGCCAGTAAATACGTTTTATTTCTTTTCAGAAATAAAATCTCTGGCACCTTACTTGGTAAACATTATTTGGTACATTACAGACTGTCTAACTTCCTAACTATAATGAAAAGTAAAGTTTTGTGGTTACTACCCTCCGAACGGAAAGCGAGCAGGTAACACAGTTTCATTTGCTACTTCTTCAGTGTTTGAAGAAGCTCAGAGAGGATGTCCGAGCCAGACCCTGTGCACCATGCAGACTTCTTCTGCCTTTTAGTGTTTGCTTCTTCCTTTGCAAAAAGGAGGAATCTGAATTTGAGATATATTGTACCCTGAGGGCAAGAAGCTGGGCCTGGATCTACTTAGACTTGCTTGGTGAGTTTTGGGGTGAACCAGGTCCAAAACACAGTGGAAGTTATTAGTGATTGTTTTTATAATCAGTTACTATCAAATGGATTTGTTTTAATATGGAATAGTTTTAGCCAGATTTTTAGAAAGCTGGACTCTGTCTTCATTAGCTGAGTAAAGTCTGTTTCATTTGGACATTACAAAAAATATTTCATTATCACACAGCATCTGAAAAAGCTAGTGGCAGAAGTAAATCATTAGGTAGCAGCTGTTGGTACCTGGAAGAGGGATATGCCTTGCCTGCCTTCCCAAGAGATGACATCTCCCCAGGGGACCTCTATTAAGCATCCTTGGGCTTTAGAAGTAAGTGCCAGTCTTGACGGGTTTCCCAGGTGGCTCAGTGGTAAAGAATCCTCCTGCCAATGCAGAAGACCTGGGTTCGATCCCTGAGTGGGGAAGATCCCCTGGAGGAGGAAATGGCAACTCACTTAAGTGTTCTTGCCTGGAGAATCCCATGGACAGGGGAGCTTGGCAGACTACAGTCCTTGGTGTCGTAAAGAGTCAGACATAAGTGAATACGCGTGCATGCACATGTAAATCTTGGCACTTCACATGGTACAACCACCTAATACTGCCTTACTGGCCTGTTATTGTCAAGTTACTAGACTAGGTTAGAGAGCAAAAACAATCCTCCTCTGGATTGCTTGCAAAGTCCACCCTGCACAGGATCACTTGGAAGCAATGAGAAAAATGAAAATGATCTGTAACTAATCTCTATTGTTAGTATGTTTTGAAGTCTTTTAAAGATTATAGGTTGATTAAGAATGCATTTCAGGACTTCCCAGGTGGTGCAGTTGGTAAAGAATCCACCTGCCAGTGTAGGAGACATAAGAGATGTGGGTTCAATGCCTAGGTCTGAAAGATCCCCTGGAAGAAGGAATGGCAACCCGCTACAGTGTTCTTGCCTGGAAAATTGCATGGACAGAGGAACCTGGCAGGTTACAGTCCATGGGTCACAGAGTCTAACACGACTGAGCACACATACACACTGATAGTACAGTGGATAAGAATTCACCTGCCAGTGCAGGGGACACGGGTTCAATCCCTGGTCCGGGAAGATCCCACATGCCATTGAGCAGCCAGGCCCATGTGCCACAACTACTGAAGCACTCACACCTAGAACCTGTGCCCTGCAACAAGAGAAGCCCCCGCTCACCACTAGAGAAAGCCCGCACAGCAACAAAGACCCAGCACAGCCAATAAATAAATAATTTGTTTTTAAATAATGCATTTTAAAAGTCTTATCTATACATGGTAAATAAATACATGTTTATAAACACATGTTTAAAGCAGTTGTCATTTTAGTTGACCAGAGGTAGATAAAGTTTATCATCTTTGAAAATAAAGTGTCAAGAATCAGTCTTCAGACGTCTGTGCTGATACCCCCTAGGGACAAACATAAATCCTTATGCCATTTTTGACAGCAGCGCCTTAGGTGCCAACTCCTTGTCTGAGAAGTAGGATTCTAGCTTTAATACAGTTAAGTAAGAATTGGTTATGAGTGGTTTTGTCCTTGTTGTAAGTGTTTACAGGTAGGTGCTTTTCTCTAACGGTTTAATTAGGTAAAATATAGTAAAATGCATAGATCTTAAGTGTACATTTATTGAGTTTTTTTTATAGAGTTTTAACAAATGTATGCACCTGTGTAACTGCTCTTTCAGTTAAGATATAGAACATTTCCATTACCGTACAGTTTCATCATGCCCCTTCCTACCCAGTATCACCCTACAGTCCCTATTTGATTTATCTTAGTTTTGTTTTACCTTTTCTAGAACTTCACGTATATGTATGTATAGAATCATACAATGTGTCTGTCATCTTTCACTTGACAAAATGTTAATTGAGATTTATTCACATCTTTGCTTGTATCCCTGCAGAGGTACATTTTTCAGTGCAAATGCAATTCGGGAGAAATTAAAACATTGCCAAATGAGACTGCCTTAAATAAATATGTTATTTCATGGACAAAGCTCCTCTCACTCTTTGCAAACAGGTTGTTCTGGTGACAGACGGCTGTCTTGGCATCGGTAGAGGGTCTCTGAGGCACTCCTTGGCTACTCACAACCAACGCAGCGAGAGCAACAGGTTTCCACTACCTTTTCCTTTTCCATCTAAGTTGTACATCATGTGCATGGCGAATCTGGAGGAGGTAATGCTTTGTACTAAGTTCTTTTTAGTTTGACTAGATATGTTTTGGGACTCAGTTTAATTTTTAGTATATTCCACTAATATTGCATTACGTATACAGGCATGCCTTAAAGATACTGCAGGATATTCCAGACCACCACAATAAAGTGGGATTTGCAGTGAAGCAGGAATCACAATAAATCGATCTGCATTAATTTCTTGCTTTCCCAGTGCATATAAAAGTTGTTTACTTTAGTCTGATAAGTGTACAATAGCACTAAGTCTAAAAAAATCTACATACCTTATTTTTAAAATATTTTATTGCCAAAGAATGCTAACCATCATCTGAGCCTTCAGCGAGTTGTAATCTTTTTGCTTGTGGAGGGTTTGAAATATTGGGAGAATTACCAGAATGTGACACAGAGACAAAGTGAGTAAATGCTGTTGGAGAGATGGGGCCAATAAAATTGCTTGACACTGGTTTGCCACAAACCTTCAAAAAGGCAGTATCTAGGAAACTCAATAAATGAGGTATGTCTGTACTATCACATCAACCTGCATTGTTTCATCTGAGACTGATTACTAATTATATTTGAAAAGACTTTCTGTCTCAAAAGCTCTCTGAAAGCACAGTGTTGCCCCATATCAAGAGACATAGAAGGAGTTGTTATCCATCCTACTTCCTACAAAGATCCTTCACATGCTGAAGAGTCAAAATGTTCTTTTTGGTGTTCAGTGTTTCCCTCAGTTAGGAAATCTTAACATCCATTATACTAAGAATGTCAACAGAAGTATGCTTTTTTTTTTTGTAAAGTAACACAACTCTGATGAATGTTTTATTAAACTCCACTTCCTGATTTTCCCATTTAGCTTGGAAAGTTATTAGATTTTTCTTCATCTGAGTTTTTCTATCTGTAAAATGTAGATAATGATGGTTTTTAACCAAAAGATGTTAGAAACATTTGGAATGGAAGATGGTCTGTGAATACCAGCTGCAGTCACCTCTTAATCATTGCAAAACTACTTGAAATGAAATAGCTCTACTGGTATAGTTTTCTGTAACATTCCTCTTTGGTAACTTTGAGTCAAAATTGTTTTCCTTCTCACATTGATAAAAAAAAATGATCTCCCTTATGTGACCTTGGTGTGTTGATAATGTCTCATTTTATGCCACTTTAAAAGGGTCGTTTTGCTTTCTAGCTTCAGAGCACTGATTCCTTGGATTGCCTTGAACGTCTTATAGATTTAAACAATGGTGAAGGGCAGATTTTTACTATTGATGGTCCCCTGTGCTTAAAAAATGTACAGTCTATGTTTGGGTGAGTATACACATTGAACTTTTTTGCCTCCTTACAATCTATTATTATAATTTAATAGGAAACAATAATATCTAGTTTACTATTTCTAATTGTGTCATTTCATTTTCCCCAAGTTGCACATTTTTTCAGATATTATGACTGATAATAGTGACTTTTAAAAGTTCACTCCCTTTTAAATTAAGCATATCTAAATCTATAATGCCTATAGGTACCGACTTCCTTACATTGATAGCAATTTCAAAGATGAACTTGCGTTTTGGGCTTTTCAGAATTGAAATTTCCTCACCAAAAATATCAGATTTTGTTCTGATTCACGAATGGTCAGATCATAGCTTTGGAATAAACTTGAAGGGAAAACACACTTGACATCTTAAAAAAAATTTACTTGGAAAAAAGTACATGTGTCATACTGCTCTTCCTATAACAAATAATCATCATATTCTAGAAAGCTGATAGATCTGGCGTACACACCGTTCCATGCTGTTCTCAAGTGCGGCCACCTAACCGCCGATGTGCAAGTCTTCCCCAGGCCAGAACCTTTTGTAATAGATGAGGAAATTGATCCTATCCCTAAAGTCATTAATACAGGTAACTTTTTTTTTAAAATTTCCTCCTTAGTACTTCTGTTATCCTTACTTTCTTCTAACTCCTGATTTTCCTCTCCTCTCTCCAGGAGAGCTGAAGAGAAATATATACTCAGTATACTTTGGATGGGAGGGTGCATTGCCTAAGGGTTGGCAGATAAGTGGTCTTCCATAGTGAGGTCCTGAGTTAATCTCCAATCCTAGATGATTATAACCACAAATTACTAGAGTTGGAAACCAGAGTGAAATTCACTAGCATTGAAATCCTTGAGGTAGTTCTTTAACAGAGATAGTAAGACTGACTAGCATCATTATTAAGGTCATGTATGAAGAGCTAGCTTCTAGACTTGTCTGTGTGCGTCTTCCTTGTGACCCTGGACAAGTCACTTCCTCTAGTTCTTATTGGCTGGGTGAGTGGAATCTAGGTGAAATAATGGTCTCTCAGGTCTCAGCTCTGATATACCGTACCCCTCTCATCCTGCTGCTTGTATTATCACTAAAAGAAAGCAATGTATATGACTTCTACCTGGCTCATGTTGCCAGTGCTATACTTAGGTTAGATTGGCAAAGCCAAGAATCTAAAGTAACTAGGGTAGTAGAGAAGAGAATTGTCTCATATTGGCAGATGGACTCCTTGAGTGGTGGGTACATGTTGAACCATCAACTATTTTAGTCACCATTTCTCCCTCTGTGCCTGGCATAGTGTCTCATGCTCAGTAGACATTCACCAGGTAGCTGTTCAGTCACCAAATGATTAAAATTAAATACAACTAGAGATTCATTTCATTCTTAAATGTATAGATTTTAAGGAGTTTTTGAGGGAAAGGCTGTGCACAAGCTCTTTTATTTTCTGGGCCTTTATTTTCTGTTCCCGGATCTCTGAAAGTAGGGCATCCATCTCTCTCTCTTTTTTTTTTTTTTTGGCATCCATCTCTTTCATTGCAACTAGACAGCAATGTGCCAAATGTTTTGTTGCCTTCAAACCAGTTAGACTCCCATCTTTTTTTGGATGAGTAACTTTGAATAGATCTTTTCTTCCAAGAAGCACTTTCTATGTATCAGATTTCACAGGCACAGTGTTTAGGTGGGGAAATCAAATATGATGACTGAGGTTACTGGAAATTTCTCTGAATGACTCTAATACTTTGCATTTTAAGTCACTAAGAAAATAAGGATAATTGTCTTTTATTTAATGGACTAAGTTATATAAACTTTTAGTCCAGGATTTTTGTTAAAGCTTATATTTAAACCACTTTAAAACCAGCCTTTTTCTACTCAAATGAAAAAATATATATAACCGCTTAAGCTAATTCATTTGTTAATCAGCTAAAGAAGGTAATGACACTAAAAGTCCAGAGAATCAGGTTTCCTGATTATTCAGTATAAGAAGTATGGTATACTCACCATGATCCTGACTTTTTTTAAAAAATTGTTTTGAGAATGAGTAAAATATGAAGGCTTCTTCCAATGAAAAATAATCAGTGACTATGTTTTTCTTCTTTACAGTTTTTAGTGTTTTCTAAATTTTTATACTAATATCTATGTAATCAGAAAGAAACTTTTAGAGTGTACTTTGGGTTTCAACTTTTTTCTTTTTTACTAATTTTAAATTAAAAAAAAATACTTTTGGTCTTTAATACAGTTTCTATAAAGCAAGGAAATCATTGTCATATGTAGACTGCAATCCTGGTTTTGTAGAAAATGTGTTTCTTTCTCTCAGGGAAAACATTTTTAATGCAATAGCCTACTCTCCAAATACAGGCTGCTTTCAGTTGTTGTGGAAATATTTGTGTATGACGCCCCCTGGTGACCAGAACATCCCTTTACTATACAGACAGACAACCATTAAGCTTTTGCCTTGGCTGGGGACCTCGCCTCATAAAAATTTAGCTGGTTTGTCATAAAATTTAAGTCCATTAAATAGACAGATATCCTTATTTTCTTAGTTACTTGAAATGCAAAGTGCTAGAGTCATTCAGAAAAACTTCTAATAACCTTCCTAGTCATCATATTTTAATTCCCCAACTAAAGACATAGTGTTTATGAAATCTAGTACATAGAAAATAATGTACTTTCCCATAAGACGAATTAACTCATCTTTTAATTTTTACTGGAGTGTAATTGCTTTATGATGCTGTGTTAGTTTCCGCTTTACAGCACAGTGAATCAGACACACACACACACACACACACACACACACACACTCACTCACTCACTCACTCACTCACTCACTCACTCACTCCGTGGTTTTGTGTTTCCTCTCCATTGAGGTCACCACGGAGCACTGATACAGTTCCCTATGCTATACAGCGGCCTCTCACTAGTTCTCTGGTTTGCGTACAGTCTCAGTGTCTATGTGTGTCAATCCCAGTCCCCCAGCCCGTCCCACCCCAGCTCCCGCTTTGTAACCATACGTGTGTTTAGTACATCTGTGACTGTCTGCTTGCAAGTAAATTCATCTATGACATTTTTCTAGATTCCACATATGAGCAACATTCTGTGATATTTGTCTTTCTCTTTCTGACTTACTTCACTCTGTGTAACAGCCTCTAAGCCCATCCATATTGCTACAGATGGCATTATTCCATTCCTTTTATGGCTGAGTAATATTCCATTGCGTTTATGTACCACATCATCTTTATCCATTCCTCTGTCAATGGACATTTCCATGTCCTGTCTAAGTAGTGCTGCAGTGAACATCACGGTGCATGCAACCTTTCAAATTGTGGTTTTCTCCAGATATATGCCCAGGATTGGGGTTGCTTGGTCATGTGCTAGCTCTGTTCTTAGTTTTTGAGGAACTTCCATACTGTTCTCCATAGTGGCTGTACCAATTTACATTCCCACCAACAATGTAGTAGGGTTTCCTTCTTTCCACGTCATCTCCAGCATTTATTGTTTGTAACAAATTAATTCTATGTTGATTCCTTCTTTTCAGATTTGGAAATAGTGGGATTTATTGATATAGCAGATATTTCAAGTCCCCCAGTTCTGTCCAGACATCTGGTCCTACCTATAGCACTTAACAAAGGTGAGTTCTCTTCTTATTCCAGTGATACATATGAAGTATCTTATTACCTAAAGTTATTCTTAAATGTTGGATAGTAGAATAGCCCATTTTGAAGAGTTTTGGGGAAAGGAGTATTTACTGGATTGGATTTTTTTAAAAATTGAATGTTGCCTAATATATTAAAAACTAATTCTGCTGTTTTATAACTGTGGAAGGCATTTGACACATATTTATTATGTGCTGCTTTGTTAATTTACAGTGGAAGTCCTCTCTAGAGATGAGAATGCGCTCTTAGTTCCTCTTCCTTGGTTCTGTCTTTCCCTGTGGGATCATGCTGGGGAAACAAATTAGCTCTTGGAAGGTTGCCTGATGAGTGTGGAATGTAGCTTTATAGCAGGAGACACTGCACCTGTTCTCTACCGGCACTTAGCACATAGCACATACTCAGTAAATACTGTTGAATGAATGAATGGATCCAGGCCCTTGTGAGGCCACGTTACTTCAGAATAGACTTCTCCAGTAACTATAGTTACAGCTCCTGAATTCAGCATCTCTCTGGAGAATGTTAGTCTCTAGCACTTTAAACTTCTCTTTTCTCTGTTTTGTGTTCACCAGCTTTCTCCAAGAAATGTATACAGTCAATCAGGTTTCCCCCTACTGAGTTATGATCATATTCCATTTACTCATTGTTATTTCAGTTGGCATTTTGGGTATTCCATAATCGTCCATCACATAGACAAAATCTTTGATATGTTCTCACAGATGACTGGTTGTGATCACTGTGTTTATATGTTACCTTATTGTTCTTGATATTGGATAACAACCAGGTTTCCCTTATTTCTAAGGTCCTGGGGGAACTCTGCACACCAATATAAAAAAGTAAAAAAAGGAAAGAAAGTGGACAAAATAAAGAGTTCATATAGGAGAACAGTGGAAAGGAAAGTATGGGAAGGCAAAATGGAGCCGTGTTGTAAGGGCTGTTGAATATCAAGCCAGGCAGATTCTTCCTATTGAATTAGAAAGTCTTTGAATCAGCTTGAGTAAACAGATAGTTCCAGAAGGAAGTTACTTGGAGGGAGATGCATTCATCTGTCGGCAGAGTATATGAGAGAACCTGGAGTTGGAGAAGCAGGTCAAGAGGCTTATGGAGTAGTCACTGTTCTTTGGGGTATCCCATCCACTTGCTGCCTGAAGGCTGTCAGTTGAGAACACTCTTGACATCTCTGAACCTCTGTTTCTGTTTCAGTGGTGCCTAAAATTCCCAGAGAGCATCTAGCTTAGTGTTCTAGTAGAAACTATGGAAAGCTGATCTTTCATGTAACAGTTTTGCTGAAATATAATTCATAAACCATACACTTCACTCATTAAAAGTGTACAATTCAGTAGTATTTAGTGTATTTACAGAGTTATGCAACCATAACCACAGTTTTTTAATCAGAATTTTAGAATTTTCACTACCTCAAAAAGAAACCTTTTAGCTATCAATCCCTAACCTTCCATCTCTCTTAGCTTCAGGTAACTACTGACATCCTTTCTATCTGTATAGATTTGCTTATTCTGGATGTTTCCTATAAATGGAATTCATATAACATGTGAAAACTGATTTTTATGTGGACATAGGAAAACCAGAATATGAGTTTTTCTTCCTTGTTATAATATTCCTTTATAATTCTGTGTACACTCCTTCCAAGGTTAGAAGCAGCCAAGAGTGCAATTGGGGCTTGGGCTTTTTCTAGCTAATATCAGTCTGACTGGTTTTCTCTCTCTTTTCACAGAAGGTGATGAGGTGGGTACTGGTATAACTGATGACAATGAAGATGAAAATTCAGCCAATCAGATTGCAGGCAAAATACCCAACTTCTGTGTCCTGCTTCATGGCAGCCTAAAAGTGGAAGGAATGGTGGCGATAGTTCAGTTAGGGTAAGAAACTTTTTTACCTTTTGTTGAGTGAAAGGGAGAATTTACAAACTGAAGTATTTCCCAGATTTTTCTGAAAGAAAAAAAAAAAAGCATCCACTAGAATATGTACAGAGTGAGTCTTTTAATTATATTGCCTTTATTTTTTAGATGATGATGAGCATTTTTTATTTATTTTTTATTGGAGGATAATTCATCAACATGAATCACTCATAGGTATATACATATGTTGCCTCCCTAATAAAGTATTTTTTACATTGATTTTTTTTTAACTTTTTAGTTTGTATTGGAGTAAGCTGATTAACAATGTTGTGATAGTTTCAGGTGAACAACAGAGGAACTCAGCCATACATATACATGTATCCATTCGCCCCCAAACTCCGCTCCCATCCAGGCTGCCTCATCACATTAAGCAGAGTTCCCTGTGCTGTACAGTAGATCCTTATATTGCCTTTATATTATATCTCTTCTCAGTTTTCCTCTTTTCTGTCCTCTAGGAAACCTTGAGTCAGTTAAAGCACTGCTGCCAACTTGTTATAGGATCTTAGGCAGTATGCATAGACTCCTCAGCTATAAAATGAAAAAAGATGCTGGTAATATTGAACATTTTACCATGTGTCATTTACTCCTCTAGGCACTTTACATATGTCAGTTCATTTAATCCCTCATAACACTATCCAAGAGGTATCAGTATCACCTTCTGTTGCCTTAGATGAGGAAACTGAGACTTAGAGAGCAAGTCATGGTACTTGCTCAAGGTCACACAGATATTGAATGAAAGAGTCAGGATTTTTATCCATACGTTGCGACTCTATAGCCCATGCTCATAACCACTGTGCTATATTCCTTCTCTATAAGGAATACCCTTCTAGCTTTGACTTTGGATATAGTCTGAAAATCTTCAGAACCGCCTGCTTCCTTTTCGAGAATACCTGTTTATTAGGGAAGAGGTGACTGGTCATCCTCTGGCCATCAACAAGGGTAGAGAAGATCAAGAGTTGTTAAGAATACCTAGAGGAAGCATGGCTCCATCTCTGCTTGAGTTAAAGTTAGCTGATCCAGAAAGACAAATGCAATTCTTATTAGGTATCGGTGTGCTAGATTTTGGTACTCAAGTTACTTGTACTGACTCTGAATACAGGAATCACCTGATGCCCTTTGAGAAGTGTGAACAGAGCTGGGTGATGGCTTTGCAGACTACGTTAGAAGGGCTTCTCTGTGTGGTATTTCTGTGAATGATTCAGAGGTGGCTGAAGAGACCTATAGGTCACGGTTCTTACTCCTCACCATGCCTGCAGCTATCTGCTGCCCTTGTGATTCTCTTTTTCTCTTATAAGACTGTTTTTTATTTCCATATCTATATAACTAAATAGTAATACATATCTCCAAGGAATGCTAATATTAGGGGGCAGTAGTGTGCATTTGTAGGTTTAGGATTTGGCTTTAATAAAAATAATGCACCTAATTTCAAAGCTGAAAACCGTGACTCTTGAGAGAAAAACACAGGGTAGAGTTATTTAACTTGACAGTCCCAGGCTTAAAGTTGTTCTGACCGTTCGTCTTCTCCCCATCTAGGCCTGAATGGCATGGGATGCTCTACTCTCAAGCTGACAGCAAGAAGAAGTCAAACCTCATGATGTCTCTCTTTGAGCCTGGCCCAGAACCTCTCCCGTGGCTAGGTAAAATGGTGCAGCTGGGTCCAATTTCAGGTATACCTCAGATCAGATTTTATTTATCCTGACTTTGTTTTCTCTCTACTGTTCTGAATGGCTGTCTCTGTGAGTCAGAGAGCACGTGATTTCCCTTATGAGTGCCCTGTGGTTCCTGATGCTGGATGTGTACATGGAGCGCCCCAGGAGAGTTTAATGTTTGGACTTTTAACATTACAGCTCAGGGGAGACAAACTTTCTTTAGTGTACTTTTTTTTTTTCTTCTAGTAGTGTACTGTTTTTAATTCAGATACCCCTAGACATTCTTAGATAATTTAATCCCATTCCTTCTTGAAACTGTTTTCCCTTAGTTTTCCTCACATTGCATTCACCTGGTGCTTATCTTTTTCCTTGGCAACCTTTTTCTCTTGTCATCCTGTCTTTTCTTCCCCTTGCTTTATGATTTCCCAGGGTGTTCTTTGCATTCTACTTTTGGGTTATTATTCTCCCTTGTTTATTTCATCAGCTGTTTGGCTTCAGACTCTCAACATATCTCTAACTCTTCGTCCTGCTTGATCTCTCCCTAAATCTTGCACCTGTATTTCCAGGTTCCCACTTGGACCTCTCCACCTGGATATTGTCACAGTCCTCAAATTGGCATGTTTGTGGCAGAAACCATCATCTCTCCCTCCCCTATCTCTCCCTGTCCCCCATAAACCATTTCTTCTTCTGATTTTTCTACTCCTTCTGATTGAGGCCTTTGTACTCCTAGGTACTCAGGCTCCAGCTGTAGTGTCTCCCTGGACTCATTTGGGCCCATTTCAATTTTAGGAACATCTACCAAGTAGCCTATTCTGTGCCAGGTCTACAGGCTAAAAGAGTCAGCAAAAGTTACTCAAAGACTAGTCGAAAGTGGAATAATAAACCTAAACTGGCATGAGATCAGAGTCGGCCTGAAGTAGGAGATGGTCAGCTCTTCCTCGAGGACTTGGGCATATCTCCACAGAGGAGAGACACCATTACTGAGTTTTGAAGAAAAAGAGAAATTTGCTCCAAATAGAGCACCTCTAGAAAAGAAAGAAGCTGGACCACAAAATGGGAGGGTGGGGGTGGGAAGGCCAGATGGTAGGTTAGAGGTTGGCAGTGGGACGGCAGGCAGGCAGGCCTCATCTGAGACTTTATTCTACAGATACAGGGAAGCCACTGAAGGGGAGTAATATGATCAGATCCTCCTGGCTATGATGAGAACAGTGGAGATACCAGTTAGGTGACTATGTATTCTAAGTACTGGTACCTCTGGAGTTGTGCAGTGTGGCTGAAATCCAAGTGAGAGATCATAAATTTTGCATTTAGAAAGAAAACTCTGTGAAGTGTGGATTTGAAAAGGTATGGGCATCTTGCTGTTAGAAGTCTCCTGTGACAGTCCTGGAGATGTCAAGATGAGATGCAGAACAAGGCCAGTGGCTGGGAATAGAGAGGATGCAATCCATGCAAAGATATTTCAGAGGTGGAAACAGCAGCATTTAGATACCAGAATAAAGGAAACAGAAGAGTTGAGAATGATCCCAGGTTTCTGACTGGGGCTTCAGGGTAAAAGGTGGTACTGATAATTGAAACAGAATAGTAGATTTGGGAAGAACTTCTCTTGTGCATGTTTATGCCTGTGAGATTTAGGTGAAGGTACCTAGAGACAATTCCTGTAAGAATCTGGAGTTCAGGAGAGAGGACAGAGTTGAAAATACAATTTTTAGTTATAAACATATCAGTGATCTTTAAAATGGTGAGAATGAGGGAGATTGCTAGGGCAATAGTTGACAAATTTGAGTTTTGTTATACAAAAGTAAACCTGGAGAACTTGTTTTAAAATTCTGTTTCCTGGTCCCCACCTACAGAGATTCTGATTTAGTAGATCTGGATTCAAGATCAAGAACTTGCAGTTTTAATATTACCTAATTGATTACAGTCTAGGTCAATAACCACACTTGAAGAAGCCTGAGCTTCAGGAAAGTATATCCGTTAGGGGAAAAGGACCAGACCCCTAGAAAGGACCAACTACTAGAGGCAGTGGAAACGGCACCAGGAAAGGAAAATGAGAAGGGAGAGGCAAGTAAGAGAAAAGGTACAAGAAAAAGGATGTCACAGAAGCCACAAGAATAAAGAGACTCAAGAAGGAAGTACAATGTCTCTTACATGAGCACATATAAGTCATGGCCTACAGTGTCTTACACACATGTACGTGCATGTCAGTTAAGGTTTGAAAGATACCTTTTGCCATTGAAGCCTAGAGATTTTGATGGAATATAGGCCCTAGAAGCTAGGCCAAGGGTCAGCAAACTTTTCCAGCAAAGGGCCATATATAATAAATATTTTACATTTTATAGGTAATTATGTTTTTTGTCATAACTACTAAACTCTGGCATCATAGCATAATACATAAACCATTTAAAATATAAAAAGCCATTCTTAACTCAGAAACACGCAGCCAACCAGTTTGCCAACTCTTGAGCTAGGCTCCAGGGGCTGGAATTTTAAAGGTCACACAGGAACAGGAGACAAGACTAAACTGAAATCTCTTGAGTAAAGCAGGGAGTGTGGAAGGTCTACCCTCTCAGTGAGAGGACGACAAAAACAATTCTATTCCTTGTTTCCACCTACTTTTTACATATAAAGAAACCTTAACGTCTCTTGTGAAACGTGGAAGCCCACATCCTGCACCGCGTGGCTCACCCCTGCCCATTCCTAACCAAACAGTGTAAACACTGAAGCTGAAGCCACGAAACCCATGTTGCATCCTCCAGAAGCTAATGTAATGGCTCTGTAGAAACTCCTCTGCAACCCAGGGGAAAAGTAAAAGTGAAAGTCCCTCAGTCGTGTCCAACTCTTTGCGACCCCATGGACTATACAGTCCATGGAATTCTCCAGGCCAGGATACTGGAGTGGGTAGCCTTTCTCTTCTCCAGGCGATCTTCTGACCCCAAGGATCGAACCCAGGTCTCCTGCATTGCAGGCAAATTCTTTACCAGCTGAGCCACAAGGGAAGCCCTACTGGAGAAAAAACAGTTCTCCCTGGAGATGTGTTTATGATTTGAAAAAAAAAGTTGTAAAATCATGTGAAGGTCTTTGAAGGAAGAGCAATAGGAGGATTAGCACCTTGAGGACTTAATCTGAAAAAGACTGAAGAATGAGTATTTTAAATGATTAAAGAGTGAGTATTTTAAATGATTAAATAGTTTTAGGGAAGAATAGAAACCAAGAAGAAAGAAGAGGACACTATGAATCAAGAGTCATTTGATCTTGACAGGTAAGAGGTTCTTGGTGGCTTTGTTAGAATCAGTTTTGGCAAATGATTAGCCAGGAGACAGGCTGAGGAATGAATTATAGATGAGAAAATGAAAATGACGAGTTTGACCACAAGAGGACAGAAACAGGACAGTAACTGGAAGAGAACCTGGGGGGGTGTGTGTGTGTGTAAAAAGAGATTCCTCACCCCCTTTACCTGTCCTCTCTGCAGCATTCCTACATTCATTCTGTCCTTTGATTCTCAGAGCTCTTGCCTTTTCTGGGTTTCTTTACCTTTCACTTAGATCAATTCAGTTCAGTTCAGTTGTTAGTCATGTCCAACTCTTTGCGACCCCAAGCCTGACAGCACACCAGGCTTCTCTGTCCATCACCAACTCCCAGAGTTCACCCAAACCCATGTCCATTGCGTCGGAGATGCCATCCAACCATCTCATCCTCTGTCGTCCCCTTCTCCTCCTGCCTGCATCTTTGCCAGCATCAGGGTCTTTTCCAGTAAGTCAGTTCTTCACATCAGGTGGCCAAAATATTGAAGCTTCAGCATCAGTCCTTCCAATGAATATTCAGGACTGATTTCCTTAGGATTGACTGATTTGATCTCCTTGTAGTCTAAGGGACTCTCAAGAGTCCTTTCCAACACCACAGTTCAAAAGCATCAATTCTTCAGTGCTCAGCTTTCTTTATAGTCCAGCTCTCACATCCGTACATGACTACTGGAACAACTATAGCTTTGACCTAGATGGACCTTTGTTGGCAAAGTAATGACTCTGCTTTTTAATATGCTGTCTGTGTTGGTCATAGCTTTTCTTCCAAGGAGCAAGCATCTTTTAATTTCATGGCTGCAAGTCACCATCTGCAGTGATTTTGGAGCCCAAGAAAATAAAGTCTGTCACTGTTTCCATTGTTTCCCCATCTGTTTGCCATGAAGTGATGGGACTGAATGCCATGATCTTTGTTTTTTGAATGTCCAGTTTTAAGCCAACTTTTTCACTCTCCTCTTTCAATCAAGAGGCTCTTCAGTTCCTCTTTGCTTTCTGGCATAAGGGTGGTATCATCTGGCATATCTGAGGTTATTGGTATTTCTCCCAGTAATCTTGATTCCAGCTTGTGCTTCATCCAGCCTGGCATTTCACATGATGTACTCTGCATATAAGTTAAATAAGCAGGGTGACAATATACAGCCTTTACATACTCCTTTCCCAATTTGGAACCAGTTTGTTGTTCTACGTCTGGTTCTAACTGTTGCTTCTTGACCTGCATACAGATTTCTCAGAAAGCAGGTCAGTTAGATCAGAGGTCAGCAAACAGTGGCCTATAGGCCAAATTAACCCACTGCTTGTTTTGTAAATATAGTTTTATTACAGAATATCTCTCATTCATTTACATATCTATGGCTGCTCTCCTGCTTCAGTGGCAAAATTGAGCAGTTACAACAGAGACCATGTAATCCACAAAGCCTAAAATATTTACATCTGATACTTAACCTAAACTATTATGATAGTTTTCACCACAGCTGCCTGTCCATAATCTAAGGTAGTGGCATTCACACTCCTTTCTGATCTGGCTGCCAACTTAGCAATGCTTGGCTCATTGTGCATATTCTTAAATCAGATGGAACTGCTTGTTTCTCAGCCCTATATTCATGTTTGTTTTTTTTCTCTCCCATTGTCCTTTTCAATGAGGATAGTAAGAACTAACATCTATTGAATTTAACTTTGTGCCACACAACAATTTAACTTTGTGCCACACAACAGTCCTCAGTTCAGTTCAGTTCAGTCGCTCAGTCATGTCCGACTCTTTGCAACCCCATGAACTGCAACACAACAGTCCTAGGAGATTGGTATTGTCGTTATGGTAACAAGTAGTAGGTAACAACTGGAGAAGGCAGTGGCACCCCACTCCAGCACTCTTGCCTGGAAAATCCCATGGATGGAGGAGCCTGGTAGGCTGCAGTCTATTGGGTCGCTACGAGTCGGACATGACTGAGCGACTTCACTTTCACTTCTCATTTTCATGCATTGGAGAAGGAAATGGCAACCCACTCCAGTGTTCTTGCCTTGAGAATCCCAGGGACAGGGGAGCCTGGTGGGCTGCCGTCTATGGGGTCGCACAGGGTCGGACACGACTGAAGTGACTCAGCAGCAGCAGTAAGTAATAGCAAAACCTATCGTAGATAGTTGTTGAGAGAAGTTTCTAAGGAGTGCCTGACACACAGTGGGCACATTTGAATGGATCTTGCTGTTTTAATTATGCTTTTTTAATCAAAGGAAAGCTCGCAAAACAGTACTGTTTATACCTAGCCCCCTTCTGCTCCTAATTCTGTTCCTACAGATAACCATTCTCAAATTTTAATTTTCTGATATTTTACTTACACATCTAAATAATTTAAGTATGTAGCTGTTTCTTGACTTTTTTTTGCTTAATGCCATTTTTTTTACTTTTCAAGGAAAACTACTTAGCTCTTCTATTACTACTACCATCCCTGCCCACCTGTTCACCCAAGTAGCACATTTTTCCCTGCCTCAGTCCTTGCGATGTGGCTGTAGTGTTCTCGGCAGTTCAGTGAGTTTTCTGCCCTTGCTGGGTCAAGTCCGCATTACTCACTGCTAAGCCGTGTGCTGTACGGTGTGACGTTTCCTTTGTTTTGCAACTCTTTGTGTCCTACCCCAGATACTACTTTTTTTTATTAGATATTTCTTTTTTCTAGCAGGTGAGGTAAATGTATTCTGACTAACTGTAATTAAAAGGAGAGCTCTATAGGAAAGACACCGACGTTCCTCACAGAATCCAGGAAAGAGCTTGGCAGCTAGGCTGGGGAGGAGGCCAGCAACAGATGAGTGCAGCCCTCACCCTGGGCTCTCTCATGGCCTTCCTCTACCTTTATTTTTCCCCTTGTTTTTCTCTGCTCTTTTCCACGTACCTATCACTAATTACTGCCTGGGCAAAATACATCCTTTACGTGTTTTGTTGTCACTTTCTTTTTTTCCTGAGAGTCGTCTCCCTTCCTTTTGTTCCATGGATGGACTGGTTATTCTCTAGGGCCATTGCAGAGCTGTCATCCCAAGTATTCCCTTCACACTTCTCCAGTGACTCTCCTGTTTGATGAATCCTCCTGAGAAAAGGGCACATGGGAAGTAAACACTTGAAATCTCACACATGTGGCAATGTCTGTACTTCATCCCGTATACTCTGCTGACAGTGTGGTTGAATGTTGAGTTCCAGGTCAGGAACCGGTTCCCCGCAGAGTGTCGAAGCATCACTCTGCCATCTCCTCTGGCTTCCAGTGTTGCTCCTGCGAGTCCAGTGCCGCGCTCACGGCCCGAGCTCTGACCTGCCCTCTATTTCTTCTGTGGACCTGGAGGCCCTCCCAGTGTCCCTAGCATTCTAGATGTTCAGAATCACGTACCTTGGTTTTGGTCTCTTCATCATTGTGCTGGACTCAATGCTTCCATCTGGCAATTCATGTTCTTGAGTCCTGGAAGCATATGTCTTTGATTTCTTCCATTTGTATTCTTTGTTCTCCTTTCCTAGAAGATATGTTTATAGTATTTGTGTGCATGTGTGTAGTTTTCTTATCATCTCCTACCCATATTTTTCATTTTTTGAAATTTTTTGTTCTACCTTCTGTAAGATATCTTCAATCTTATCTTGCAACCAATATTTTAAAAAATTTTCTACTATCATATTTATTATTTGTAAGATCTCCTGTTCTTTTTTCATTAATGTCTGCTAAGCCAGTTTCCACATAGAGGCTCCAAGCAATTAGAGACAGTACAAGGTAGGCTGTGATAAGATGCCGAAATGTTTGGTACTGACAGGGAGTGCTGTGGGATAAAAGGGACGAGAAAAATCGTCATCTACCAGAAAACACTGGGACAGCTCCATGGAGAAGGTAGGATAGGATCCAGGAATTTAAATACATTTGGGTAGGTGAGGAATAGCAGTGTTGAATGGGGGAAGAAGTATTGCCTTTGAAACCAGGCCCAGCTGTCCCTGTGAAATCTGAGCCTCAGTTTCCTCATGTTTAATGAGACTAATAATATCTACCCTCTTGAGTTGCTAAAAGGAGAGAAGTTGTATATGTTAAGTATTTTGCACATAGTTGTAATTTAATAAATACCCTTCATAAATACTCATACTCTTCATTGAGGCTAGAAAAAAATATCTTCTCTAGCCATACTTTCTAGCATGGTGCTTCCTACATAGTGAGGTGTTACTATAGATGATGAATGAGTATGTGAAGGAGGGAATAAATAAATGAGGAAAGGAGAGCCTTGCAGACAGGGGAAGAACGGAAACAGTGGCCAAGAAGTTGGAAATAAGCATGTTGCCTTGGAAACGACTGTTGGGATCTTGGCCTGACTTAAAAAGGCTTATGGATTGATAAGTCTTCATGGAAACATCTGGAAAGCTGAACCAGTAAATTTTTGGAGGGGGTAGGAGGAGAGGGCACTGACAGAATGGGCCAGTATAAGGCATCCAAATTAATGACCAGATTGGGGTTGAGCGCTTCTGGGTCAGTTAGAGAAGCTGAACTAATTCCAGTTTTCAACAGGAACATGTGGGCAAGGGATTTAAGCTCCCCGGTCTTGTTGGGAAAATGATTCCTGCTCTGTCTACCCTGAAAGATGATAATAAGGATAAAATGAGCCAAGATGTAATCAGTATGCTTTGTAAGTTTGTGACAAAGTATCATTGACTCAGGAAGCAGGTGGAAAAATAGAACTCTTTGTTTATCCACATGGCTATAAACCCAACATGGCTTTATGTCTTTGGAAGCAATAAACTAGTAAGCCATAATATGGGGTATGTTTCACCAAGAAAGTATTTCTTCCCTTGCTCTTTTCCTTAAATTGGCTATATATAATTTCACTTTTAAATTTTCTCAATGTCTGGACGTATGCTGTCTGATCCAGTAAGCCGCTCACCACAGGAGGCTATTCAAATTTAATTAAATAAGATCCAGTTCCTCTGCTACACTAGCCAGGTGTCAAGGGTTCAGTGGTCCCATGGGGTGTGGCTACCTTTCCTTATCTCAGAAAGTTCTGTTGGAGAGTGCTGGGCTAGACCATGTAGAATTGCAGTATGTAGGTATACATGTATTTTTATATACACTTCAGTATTATTTTATGTATTTTTATCCTCTTATGACCTTAATTTATAAAGTAGATAGGTAAAACTTGTATCTTTAGAAACATTAAGCTGTTTTTCACTTGCCTGGGCCTCAGTTGATTGTTTAGTGTCCAACATTAGTGCTGAGAACAGGTTCTCCAACCTGACAGAAGCTAATGGATTTTCTTAATTAGGGAGGTAATAGGATATAGGAGATCAAATGATTCAAAGAGCTTCTAACCTGATTGGAAATGTGCTTGATTGTGTTTTGCCAGATATCATTTCAAGTTTGTTTTTTTCTTTTAAGATGCTAAAGAAAACCCTTACGGTGAGGATGATAATAAGAGCCCATTCCCCCTGCAGCCCAAAAACAAGCGCAGTTATGCCCAGAATGTGACGGTGTGGATCAAACCCAGTGGCCTGCAGGTAACATTACCATCCACGTTGCTCTCCACTGGGGACAGGAGGAGGGATTCCTGCAGGCAGGAGGACATTTGATTTGATTTTCTTTTCTTCTGATACTTCGTAATTCATTTACTTCTAACATTTGTCATTATTTCCAAAAAGGATTTGAGGTGGCCTACAGTAAAACACGTACGTAGCAGAATCATTTTTTACAAAATCTGGAGCAGTATAAAACCTGGAGGAAGAGGAGAGACGGTGTTCCAGGAAGCCAAGGCAGAATGATAATTGTGTTTGAGCAATTTGGCTCTTGAGCTTCCTGCTACCAAGTTAAAAAAAAAACATGGTTTTTTTTGGTTATATGGTTATATGGTTCTCCTTGTCTGATTAAAGGAAGCATGTCAGTTCTTCTAGAGACACATTTTTTCCAGCATTAAATTTTAATGTGAAAGTTTTGACATGGTGAGTCACTGAATAATATTATAGGTGTTATCTTTAGTACCAGTTTTGAGGAAGACAAAAATCTTCATGTGATTATTTCTCCCATCGGCACAATGTAAGTCAAAGCATTACCATGTAATACCACAGAAACCCTTTCATGGGAGGCACCTATGAAATTATCCTATTATCAGGATATCAGCCTTTAGTAACGGGACTCAGCGACTTTCTCCTCCTATTGGCAAAGTCATTCATACTTTTTTTAAAAATCAGTTTTTGAGCTTTTTTTCACTTGAGTGCCTTTTCTTTTTTTCTTTGTTCCTCCCATGAGTCCAATCCAAGCCAAATGAGAAGAGGCAGTCAGGCGCCTGACCACAGAAGTAACCTCTATTGACACATAGTCTCTTCTAGCCCCCTTTTCAGGGAGACTAGACAGATACATCCTGCCCTGGCTAAGGGGCCTCTTCCCTTTGTTGGAAATTAAAGTTCTCCCTCTTTCTTGCCATCGCTGACCCCAGCACTTCCCTGTCAGAAGGAGAGCTGAATTTTTCTAAAACTGTTTTTTTAATTTTGTTTTGGTCTGGATGTGTTATTTTATTATGGTGAGGTGCACATAACAAAAGTTACCATTTCAGACATTTTAAAGTATTCAACTCAGTAACGTTAGTATAATCACAGTGTTACATGACCATCACCACTGTCTAGTTCAAAAACGTGTTCATCACCCCAAAAGGAAATCTTTTACCCGCTGAACAAGTCACTTTTGCCCCTGCTCTAGGCAGCCACTTACCTGCTTTCTATCGTCTGTAAGGATCTGTCTGTTCTGGATATTTCATGTACACTGCATCATATCACATGTTCCTTTCTGGGTTTGGCTTCTCTTAGCGTTATGTTTTCAGCAGTCATTCATGTTGTAGCCTGTGTCAGTGCTTCGTTCCTTTTGATGGCTGAGTGATAGTCCATTGTATAAACAGTGGTCCAGTGTATAAAGTCCATATCTGTCAATCCATTCATTCAGTTGATGAACTTTTGAATTTCTTCATTTGCCAAGTTTATTTTTTCTTTTGTTGCTGTGTTGTTGTCATGATAAGAGTTTTATAGTTTTAGCTCTTAATATTTAGGCCTCTGATCTACTTTTTAGTCAATTTTGTGGGTATGGTATGAAGTAAGGGTCCAACTTCATTCTTGTGCAGGTTGCTATCCAGTTACCCAGGCACCATTTGTTAAAGAGATTTCTTCCCCTCGTTGAATGGTCTTGGCATCCTTGTCTAAAAGCAGCTGATTATAGATGTTTGGGTTTACTGGGGGTGTTTTTGTGAGACAAGTTCATTTTTGTCTCCATGGGCTTTAGTATCATCAAGCCTTTTGAAGGAGAGAGATGATTTACTAATGCTGAACAATGACATTAACTCAGAAGGGATCCTCATCTTTATACTATAACTCTTTTCTCATTTTCATTTTTTTCCATTTAAAGGTCTCCTTTTATATTCTTTCCCTTTTTACCACAGAATTCTAACTTTGAATTCTTTTTACCCTCTATAGACAGATGTACAGAAGATTTTAAGAAATGCAAGGAAACTACCTGAAAAAACACAGACATTCTATAAGGTGAGACTATCAGAATTATAGTAGTTGAAGGTGGGCTCTGTGCTCTGTGCCAGAAATAAACTGTTTCACAGTCGTGTGAGCACTGAACATGGACAGGAATTAGAAATGTGTGTTTGTGCCTCCTTTTGTTCATCAGTAAAGTCAGCAGAAGTGATAGGTCTGTACCTGCCCTAAAATCCAGGAATCAGGAGTGTTTACATGGCCTGGTTGAGTGCGATGGGTCGTCTGGCAGGTCTTCTCTGCATTGGTGCTGCCGTGAATGGCCAAGGGAAGGAGCTGAAAGGACCTGTGAGTCACAGCCCTTAACCCTCCCCGCTGCTCCCAAGTGGGTATCCAGTCTAACCAGGCAGCCAGTGGATGTGTTTTCCAGAGATGGTGTCTGCTCAGAACTTTGCCAGAGGAGCTGCTTCTGGTAATGACTTTTAAAATTGCACACTTAGGAGACTTCCCTGGCGATCCAGTGGTTAAGACTCCATGCTTCCAATGCAGTGGGCACAGGCTCGATCTGTGGTCGGAGAAATAGGATTTCACATGCCATGCAGTGCAGCCAAGAAATAAAATGAGCCTTTTAAAAATATATATACATTTATAAATTGCAAAAGAATGGCCCTCCAGAATCATATCTTGCTAATGCAGAACCATTGGTGGAGTCAAGCTACAAGAGATGGGGTGGAGCTGGGGGGTCGGGGGCAGCATTTAAGTTCACTCTTGCTTCTCCTGTCCTCCTGATATTTGGCTGAAATTAAATTAAGTGGCAATGTGAGGTATGCAGTGTTGTCAATCGTGTCCTAGCTTGCTAATCTTAAAATATCATACACACGGTCAGCCCCAGGCTAGCATCTCTTCCAGAGAACATAGGTGCTGTGGGTGTTACCTCATTACCTTTATGTCTTCAAACCTAATTATGTAGCGAGCTGGTGAAATCAGGCAAGAGTTCAGCCAGAGAGTGGTTCAGCCCACCATGCCTCTCCCTACACGAAGCCCTTAATCCATATTGGCCCTAGATGACCACTCCGTGGCTGCAGCCCCTGCCTGCCTGCAGAACTGTCTATTCAAGGGGCAGTTATACTTTGGCCTTCTTCTGAACTTCTCATCTGTAACAGATGGTAGTAGAGAGGTGGTCAGAAAGGCTGTTTCTTTCTTGTGGTTTTATATAACCTACATAACAGAGCAGGAAAGGGCCTCTACCAGATGGCTGTGTCTGCCCCTCCAGTGAGCACGGCGGAGGTGATCCTCGTTTTGTAAATGAGGCCACTGACACTCAGAGAGGCTCCACAACTTGCCCAGATCACACTGCTAAGTGATAGATGGGGCATTTCATGTTTCTCTGCTTCCATCCACTATTTGACTTTTCTTTTTGAGGCAATCTTTGGGGTCTGACTTCCTGACTCCTCCAGAGCCTCCTCCAGACATACTCATTGTCATTCAGTCTAAGGCTCCAGCCAGAGAGGCACCAAAGGGTTAAGAGCCCTCTGAGGTTTCAGCGAGCCTTTTCCATACCTGAGTAACAGAGGGGAAGTATCCTTAGAGTTATGAGTTGTTGTTGTTTTTAGTTGCGAAGTCGTGTCCAACTCTTTGTAACCCCACGGACTATAGCCCGCCAGGCTCCTCTGTCCATGGGATTCTCCAGGCAAGAATACTGAGCAGGTTGCCATTTCCTTTTCCAGGGGATCTTCCTGACACAGGGATCTAACCCACCCTCCTGCATTGGTAGGCAGATTGTTTATCACCATGCCACCATGGAAGCCCAGAGTTAAGAGTACTGTACATGAAATGATGTGTGCAAAGCACCTCACCATGTTTGGCCTAAGTGGTGAGGATGACCTCAGTTTCAGAAACCTGTCGTCCTTTGCCTTCTGGCCACCTGTAGAGGAGCTACTTCCCAGGCATGTCATCACACCCTTTTATTATTGGCATCTCTGTACAAGTATTTGTTCTGATATAAAAATGCTCATATAAGCTTGGGGGTCAAGGAGAATATATGTCACACTGAGCACTTAGAAAGTATGTGATGAGGAGAATGCATTTTAGGAACATTGGTGGTTTTTTTGTTTCAGGAGCTGAACCGTTTACGGAAGGCTGCCTTGGCCTTTGGTTTCCTGGACCTGCTCAAAGGGGTGGCGGACATGCTAGAAAGGGAGTGCACACTGCTGCCCGACACGGCTCACCCCGACGCTGCGTTCCAGCTGACCCACGCTGCCCAGCAGCTCAAGCTGGCCAGTACTGGCACCTCTGAGTATGCTGGGTATGACCACAACATCACACCTTTGCAGACAGACTTCTCTGGGAGCAGCGCAGAGAGAATATGATGCTGACTTTGGAAGCCTTCCTTCCTTTTTTCAAGTGAGAATGATTTCAGGTAAAAACTTTTTCAGTCTGTTTACCTCTGCAGCGGCTACCTGAAGACCTTCCCAAGACTGCCTGAGAAGCACCCCTCACAGGTTTGACTCTGCTACTCTGAGAAGGTTCTGCAGGGTGGGCAGCTGCTTTCTGGAGCTCAGAGTCTTTAAATCCCAAAGACAACTGTTGCTCCCACAATGGGAACATCTCCTGAAATGCTTGAAGGACTGACGAGCTTAGAGCCCTCTCCACCATCCTCAGGAAACCCAACAACCTGGGTTCTGTTCCTGAAAGACCTCTCCACTCCTCTCCTCTCCCAACCATAGGGACATTTTCAAGTGCCTGTGGTTGAGAGAGGAGACTTGCTAAACACAAAGCCGACATCACTAAGCTTCAGAATTTCCTTAAAACTTGGGCAGAAAGTCAGTGGTAACCCTTAGGGTGCTTTTGGTATATCTTGAGATACAAACTTAAACAGCAACCATAAATGTATGATCCTCATTTATTCAAATTTTTTTAAAGAAAATAAAATACTTGATTTTCTATAAAATGATTTCACTGGGAAACCAGTGGGTCTTTGCCTTGGGTCTCTCCTGTAACCTAAATATAATTTCAGCTTCCTAAGTGGCATAGATTCTTGAAGGTTCCTTGGGTTCCATATTGACTTCCTTATTTCTGACACTGGTTAGGCCTCACTGCCTAAGCCAGGTTCCATCAAGGTTCTGACATCACTGTAGTCTGTTATGGTTTTAGTTCATCAGCTAGCTTCATGACCTTGGGCAAGTCATCAAACTTCCCTGGGCTTTATTTACATCATCATTGCTTTTCAGATAGCTCTGTAAACGTCCTAAGGAATTACGCCCATAGGCTTCAGCCCAGGCAACCATATTGTTTGTTATTTTTAACTTTTTATTTTGTATTGAGGTATAGCCAATTAAAAATATTGTGATAGTGTTAGGTGAACAGCACAAGGCCTCGGCCATACATATTCATGATCCATTCTCCCCCAAACTCCCCTGCCGTCCAGGCCGAGCAGCCATGTTCTATTTATTAGTAACCTGCTGAACTGCTATAGAGGCGCACCTCGGAGATTTCGGAGATCCACCTCCAGGCTGCCACCATAAAGCAAGTATTGTAATAAGGCAAATCACACAAATTCCTTGGTTTCCCAGTATATAAAAAATTTACAGTTTATACTACAGTCTGTTAAATGTGCAATAATAGCATTATGTCTAAGATAAAATGTACATACCTTGAGTAAAAACTAGTTTATTGATTAAAAAAAGAAAAGCTAACCATCTTCTTGACAACACAGGGATCTTCAATTTCTGAAAAATGCAAAATATCTGTGAAGTGTAATAAATAAAGGTATGCCATTTTGTCTAAACAAAAGAATTTATCACTAATAATTCTGAAACCATTAGACTAAATGATCTTTAAACACAAGTTACTAGGATTTTGATTGTAAATGTTTTAATAGAAATACACAATCTCCAGCTTTTTCAGACAGCAGTAAGGTTTGTAACAATCACTAAGAATACAGGATTCTTTACAGCATAATCTACTGTAAAGCTGACCTGCCCAATTACACATAGAAAGTTGAGAAGACACCAGAAATTAATACAAACAAATGTTGACAGAAGTTGCAGACATGCAAAATATCCTTCAATGCAGTGAACTTGTAAAAAAATCAGTCAGCCTATACTAACCAGATGTCTTTAGGTCAAACCAAGTTTCCCTCTTGGGCTCAGAGATACAGCATAATCCACTGAGTTCCCCTTCCCCTGGGAACAGTGGGAATGGCAGGGCAGAAAGAGCTATCATACCTTAAATTCTTATAGACAAACATTACTTATTTTACTTGGAATGTACTAGGGAAAACTTAATTTTTTTGATGATGGCCATATCAAGATTTTTTTCAGTTCCTCTGTTGGTAGACTTACTGTAAGGAATCTTTGTTAAGGCTCAGATGGTGGTTCTTCAGCCAGAGTTCTCACTCTGTTTTCACTGGCCTACTGCAGACAGGTGACACAATAGCAAAATAAAAACCTGGTGTTTCTGAGGCATGTTCAAAAACAGACAGTCTCACCGGCTGACTCCTGACAGGCACACAAGTACATGAGCTCCGTCCGTGCAGGGGAAGGCAGGCTGAGTGTCTATGTTTGTGCACGGCCTAGGACAGGTCTGTGGGTCCTTCTAGTGCGGTCTGTCTGATGTTCCCAGTGTGCCCACAGGCTGCGTCACCAGATTGACCTTTTTGATCCCTGTAGTGCCATCTGGGTTTGGAACTCTTAAAGAGTCTCACTGTTTCCTCTCTAATGTTTTCGTCTTTCTTTCATGTTGAAAACAGCTGTCATTTAGCTAGGAATGAAGTAAGTGATCATGGTGTTCCAAGGTTCTGACTGGTTTCTCTCAAATCACCCTGTGGCTCTCCAATGCCCATGCAGGTTAAGATGTTGCTAGAGAGACCAAAAGTTTCACAGGTGATATGTGTCCTCCAGCCCTACCTGGACTCAGAAATGTTTTTATCAGTAACTGAGTCAAACTTAATTTTCAAAAAAAAAAAAAATCAATGCCAACCCACTTAACAACCCACAACAACCACCTGGGTATAGAATATATTAGGTCTTTTTCTGAGTCACTTTCGGAGCCTCCTATGCAGCTACATAGTCTTTTGTGTTTTTTTTCCCCCCCAAGCAATAGCTGCAAAGAACTCATCTCAGCTATACACATGGCCAGTAGCTGGTAGCCTCAGCACACTGAAGAAATATCTGGGGCCTGTGTGAAACAGACTGACTAGAGATGGAGTAGGTGGGGGTATGGCTGAGCCTTTTGCTGTCACTAACAGAATACACAAGAGTGAACCTGTCATTGGGTATCAGGAATCCATGTCATGCAAGGACTACACTAAGGTAATACAGTAAATTCAGGAATGTTACTGGGGAAAAAAGGAAGATAGCTCCACTGAGAATGTAATCATTTAACTTTAAAAAAACTTTTACATCAGTACAAGAAGGTAAAACTGTTAAGAACTATCGATTAGGCTCACACTGGCAAGAAGTCATCTAAATCTCTTCTGTTTAGTGGATCTTTTTCTTTTTTTGTCCAAAGCGCCGCCTGCGCTGTTTATAAAGATGACGGAAATTTACGTATAACCCTGGAAAAGAAAAGAAGCCAATTAGAATCTTTGTCTCTGTTTATAAGCAGAAGTTCTTGGGGTAGAACAGTCCCTAGCTTTCTGTTTTTCATATCCCACAGCCCTGTGCTTCCTGCAGTTCCTCAGGAAGCACAACCTAGAATACGTATTAACAATGCACTGGAGACGATTCCGCTTTTCCCCGGTGGGTTTTACAATTTAATTTTCTCCCATGCTTTACTATGAAAATTTCAAATATACAGAAGATTAATTCATTGTGCAGTGAACACCACCTAAATTTAAACTTTACCTGTTTATTATATTTACTTTATCACATACCCATTCCCATCTCATTTTTTATGTATCTCAATGTAAGTTGAAGACATCAGTACACTTCACCCCTAAAAATTTCATTAATTAGAATTCAATATTCTTTTTTTCCTTTCTTTTAAGGTAGGATTTACATAAACTGAAATATACAAATCTGAAACAGAAAGAGAACCTAATTTTTAATTCAAGGCTAGGCAATAATATGTATTAAGAAACAGCCTAAAAGGTATGAGACACTTTTCTAGGAAGTACAATTCAGTGAACTAGAAAACAAAGGATTTCAGAGCCAGAAAAAAATCTCAATCCCACGTGATCACTGAGGAGTTCTGTAGTGAAGCCTCATCTCCATTTTTTCATTGTACAATAGTTAAAAACACTTATTAGAGTTTGATCTATACACAAATATAACTGCTTGTTATACTGCTCCTAAATTATGCAGATTTAGGGTATCATTCTCAAGAATAAGAACTACACACTCATTGTAGGCAAGCTAAATATGGGTACAGAACCTTGTAAGTAAGAATATGCAACACAAGGAAAAGCCACTAGGGTTAGTGAACATTAACATTCATCTTTTTTAGTAAAATATTTTAAGGGTCTTTCCAAAACGTATTCCTACTCAGTAGGCCCACTGCATGCAGCCTAATGACAGTAGTACTAGACTTATGCAGGAGTAGAAGTGAAGCACTCTTTTTAATGCGAGCATTTTCCAAATTGACGCTTACTCTCTTCAAGCACCAAACATTTTAACATTTTTGGTTTGAAATCTTTCTGCAATGGGTAATATCCTTTCTGAAATGGAAAAGAAGAAATGGAACAAAAGGTAACCTTTGTTATGAGGGTACTCATAATGTGTCTTATTTGACTGCACTTCTGCCACGTGCCGATTCCCTGAGGGGCTCCAAAAGGATGTAGTTCTCTTCTCCCCCATTTCTAAATGGCCAAGATCAGGAATTCCCTGGTGGTCCAGTGGTTAGGACTCTGAGCTTTCCCTTCCAAGGGCCCAGGTTCAGTCTCTGGTCGGGGAACTAAGATCCCACAAAATGCATGGCATGACCAAATAAATAAGTAACCAAGATCACTGGGCTTTCCAACTTCTTGGGTTCACTTTTTGTGGTCTCCTTCTCGGTCTGTGGAAGCCAACCTCCAAGCTGGTCCCCAATTATCCCTACTTCCTGGTACCCCATACCCTTGTGTAGTCCCCCACACACACACTGTACAAGGTTGATCTGTGTAACAGAACACAGCAAAAGTAACAGTAAGTCTGAGTTTAGGTTATAAAAAGGGCAGACCTGATAGAAGTGCTAATTATCACTACAATGGCAATCTTGTTACAACTGACATATCAAATCAGTGTTATACACCTTAAAGTTACACAATGTTTTATGTCAAATATATTTCAATAATACATACATTTTTTAAAGGAGAAAAAAAAGGCAGTGTGACTTCTGGCTTTCGTCCAGATCACTTGCTTTGGAGAGAAGCCAGGTTGTGAGCACCCACATGGAGAAGTACTGTGGCAGGACCCTGAAGCCCTCCTGCCACAGCTACACCAGCAAGCCTGCAGTAGAGCCTCCAGCCCCAGTCAAGTCTGCAGAAACTACAGCCCCAGCTGAGCTAACAGCTTGACTGAAACCTCACAAGCGTCCCTGAGCTAGGCCCACGCAGCTTGCCTGCTTCCTGACCCAGAATACATGCGAGATAATAATTGTGTGTTTAAGCTGCTAAATTTTGGAGTAATTTGTTACACAGAAAAAGATAACTAGTACACTATCTGTGTCACATCCTTCCGTTGCCAGGAGACCAAACAGCCATACTTAAGGCCACTTCATGACTTTTGTGAAATACAACAGGGAGAAATACATATAAATTATATTAAAATGTGTCAGAACTTTATCCAAAGTAAATAGTCCTCCTAGTTAGGAAGGCTTTTAAATCTCTCAAATTTGCAATAATTTAAGTTTACTTCTCTATCCCTTCTTTTAGTTCTTAGGAGATCCCTAGTTTTTAAGACAAGAATTTATGATTTTATATAAAAATTGATAAGCAAGCAAGGTTTTACATGAGGAATAGGGGGCTTTCCTATTATCAGGTAGAAAGCTTTATGACATCTTGTGGCTGCTCGAACGGAGGCCTTTACTGCCTTCTTCCTTGCTGCCAACTATATTACCACCTCTGTAACAATTCCTCTGGATAAGGAATCTGCTACTGAAATCAGCAAAAGTAAAATGAGCTTTTCATTCAGGTTCAAAAGCGCTTCTTACATTTTTTTAAACATGAAATATGGGAAAGTCTGAATGACCAAGAGCATTTCAAGAAGAGAACTCAGCCAATCAAGATGTGGGAAGAAATATTTCTACATGGCATATTCTCCAGTGGGTCTGTTCTGCAATGTAATTCATTCTTGAAAGCAAGAATACTAATAGGGATTTCTAAAACTTTGAATCATTTACCTTCTAGGAAGCAACAGAAAAAGAGTCTGTTACGGAGCCAATACTTACCTAAAAATAGTAATATAAGGTAAATCTGAAGAAAAAAGGAAAATCTAACTTTGATTTTCACTGGATATGGCAATGTGAAGCTGAATCTTCCTGTTTCATTAAATATTGGAATGGACTGAATCACTGAGACAGCTGAAAGCAGAAACGAGAACTTTTTAGAAGCACATGAAATACAATTACTTACTGATAGAAACTGCTAACTCCTCAAAGCTTCGGTTCTAGGTTTGCTGAAAATGCTCCCTCCTCCCTTTGTACAACAGGCTCGCGCCTCTTCTTTTTTCCCCCCTAGCTTACCTAGGAAACAAGCCTTCAAGCTGATAGCAAAGGTAAATGAGGAACAGTCATTTGATAGCACTGAGCTTCCTATTCTATATAATGGAGAGAAAAGTACCTATCTGACTCACTCATTAGGTGTTTGTCATAATAAAATGAAGTCATCAATATGAACATGCTTTGGAAGATTAAAACTACTGTATAAATAGGAAGCATGCAGTGCATGACCACCGAGCTTCCAAACCTTAACAAAATGAACTACTTCCTTGGAACAGTCTGGAGAGCAGGAGTATTGTGGAGGGAAACCACCAGAAAGAAATTCTTGGTAAGTTCAACACCCATGTATCAGACTAAAGCTGGCAGAGGGAGAAAGAGAGGTCTGGCTACTCAGTGGAGGTAAGATATAACACCTAGAGTTCTTTAAAGTACCTTCTGCCAAACATCCGATAGGATACAGGGGAATCCACACAGTGTAACGAAACCATGTGAGCACCTTCCAATCCATGTCAATGCAGGAGAGCATGTAGAAGGGGTACCTATTGGAAATAAGGCATTCACATGTTAAAAACCACTGAATGCAACTCCAGAACATCATTCCAGAAGAGTAATTTCACAATCAGTCACACATGGCTTCTTTTTAGCAGAATTAATGAACTCCCATCGTGCTCTTCCTCCCATCTTCAAAGGATATGAATTCTTGATAATGGCAAAGTAAGTTTAGGTCTCAAAGTAACCTCTATGAAAAAGTTCAGTACATGGAATAGATGCTCAGAAGCATTTTGGCTTTATTCCTGGTTCTGATCTAAGTTCCAAGTAGGTAAGGACAGATACTTTGACACTATATCTCTGCCTAAATGAACATTACCAAAATTAAAGTATAAAAAAAGACCTCTAATCTATAATCAGGCATAACTCTACTTAAAAAGAGCTAACATAATTTTGTTTCTCCCAAACAGTAAAAGTTACTATTAAGAACCTATAATCTCTTTCACTTTTGTGTTCAGTAGACTAGAGGGTATGCAGGATGCCATGGGATGCAGACTACAGTTAAGACATAATCTAGGGCTGCTAATGTCTTTTCTCCCTCTTAACTGTCAACTTTACCAGAATATCACCAAACGTAGAATTGAGGAGTCAGTTTGCAAAACCAATGCTCCACTTGGCTGAAAAGGGAAGAAGTATGGAATATGTATAGTCTGGTACAGGGCACATCTACTTTAATCAGATCTTAAAAAAAAAAAAAAAAGGGTAATTTCTGCATTTCCCTGATGGTCCAGTGGTAAAGAATTCACCTGCCAATGCAGGGGGACATGGGTTCGATCCCTGGCCTGGGAAGAGTCTACATGCCTCGGGGCAACTAAGGCCTATGTGCCACAACGACTGAGCCTGTGGTTTACAGCCCACACACAACTAGAGAGTAGCCCCCACTCGCCACAAATAGAGAAAGCTCACACACAATGAAGACCCAGCACAGCCAAAAACAAATAAAATTATTTTTTTTAAGATAATTTCTTCTACTGACAATCAAAAATGGAAGAATCAGATAAGAAGTCAATTCAAACTTCAGTAATCTTGTAGCAAAAGATTTATTCTATCATCCCTTCTCCAAGGCTGGTCTTCAGTACTTCATCCAACCTGGGATGCTTCTTCAGTCACATGTTTCTTCAGCCCTTTCAAGAATTTTTCCATGTGAATGAGTCTTCTCTTTCCAACAAGACAGCAAGATCCTAAAGGGTAAGATAGGCCTTTGGTTTCTCTGGATCTCTCCCTTTGCTCCCCAGTGTCCAGGCTGGTATTATGATCCACTGAGTGCTTTAAAAAAAAAACCCTCAGACTTCCTGGCAATCCAACTCCATGCTTCCATGGCAGGGGACATGGGTCTAATCCCTGGTCAGGGAACTAAGATCCCGCATGGCGTGAGGCCAAAACATAAAATTTTTTAAAATTAAATAGGCATGTCCAAAGGTAGTTATCTCAATTGATTGTTCACAGTCAGTTACAGATCGAACTCCTCATTCTACTCTTTCCCTCTTCTCACTACTGCACTTGACTAGTCTTTCATGGTAGCAGCCTAGATGTCCATCGACAGATGAATGGATAAGAAAGTTGTGGTGCATATGCACAATGGAATATTACTTGGCTATAAAAAAGGAATGCATTTGAGTCAGTTCTAATGAGGTGGATGAATCTAGAGCCTACTATACAGAGTGAAGTAAGTCAGAAAGAGAAAGACAAATATTGTATATTAACACATATATATGGAATTTAGAGACAGTACTGACGATCCTACATGCAGGGTAGCAAAGGACACACAGATGTAAAGAACGAACTTTTAGACTCAGGGGGAGAAGGTGAGGGTGGGGTGATTTGAGAGAATAGCACTGAGACATGTATATTATCATATGTAAAACAGATGACCAGTGCAAGTTCAATGTATAAAGCAGGGTATCCAAAGTCAGTGCTCTGGGAAACCCAGAGGGATAGGGTAGGGAGGGAAGAAGGTGCAGGGTTCAGGATGGGGCGATATAGGTATACCTGTGGCCAATTCATGCTGAAGTATGGCAAAAACCATCACAATATTGTAATTATCCTCCAATTACAATAATCAATTAAAAATAAAAATTTTAATTAAAAAAGTATCTTTAATTTTTTAATTAAAGAAAACACTGTCTCAACTTTGCAGAGCACATAGATGCAGGTAGAACTCTCCACACATGAAAATTTTATCTCAAATCAAATGAGACTCTGGATAAGACCAGAGTCTCATCCATAGGAGGAGGAGCACTCAGACACCATTCTGGCATTTCTACCCACCTGAAAATTTCAACTGTGCTCCATATATAAAACACAAAGAAAACCACAGCTTTGTTTTGCATTTCTTCCATGGTACCAAAGATGATAAACAAAATGAAGTTTCTTCCAAGAAGCTATTAAAAAGACCCAAAAGAGAAAAAAAAATTTTTAATACATTTTTAAGACAACAGGAAAATGTGTTATCTGAAACATAACCCCATTAAATTCAAGGTAAATAGAAAAAGACCAAGAACAACTTAGAACAAGTTTAAGTACCAAGTCAGTACCAGTATCATAGATTTTGTGTGTGTGTGTGTGTGTATGCGTGTGTGTGTGTGCGCGCACGCATGCACGCACAGATAAAACACTGCTATTTCTCTGCAAACAGGTAGAAAAGTTAAAGTACCCAAGCCAGTACCAGTACTTCTGGACAGATTTTGTGTGTCTGTATCCAGAGAAAACAATGCTATTTCTCTGCAAACAGGTATTTTTATTCATTGAAACTTCTCAGCAAAGTGTGGATACTTACTAAATAAACATCGAAACCCTGCATTCCCCACCCTTGAGCTCAACTGTTCAATACCTGGAAAAGAGAAGGTATCACTGGTGTCTTAGTGACTCCGATTGCTGCATTGATAGATTCCACGGCTGCCAGCATCTGGCAAAAATACATCATGTCAGCCACAGTGTGGAACGTGTCATAGAAGGACTCTATGGGACAAATACATATTAAGGGTAAATCAACTGGCAAATACCAACACAGAAGTATTTTGCAATCTAGATAAGCCTTTACATGAAATGGATTTTAGGAAAAGCATAATAAACATTCAGTCAGATTCAAGTTCACTACTCAAGCTGGAGGGGAGCAGGCCTCCATGGGCCTAATTAGTAAATTTTGTTGGTTACCAGTAAGTTAACACATAAACCTTGTATGCCCTCCTCAATTTTAAAAAGCAAGAAAAAAAGCATACCTAGATTTCACTCACTTATTATATGCTGAAAAATCTGTGTATCAAGCACACTGGTAATTCTTTTCAGATCCATTATCTCATTTAATTTAAAGCTAAAACTGTATTATATATTGATGAAACCTAGCTTTTTAAAATATCAAAACTATACAATCATAAATACATGCAGAGGTACAAAAGTACTGAACAAAATTAACTTTCAAAAACCTTAATTGTATTTATATATTTAATCCTATTAATTCTCATTCTGAGAACATACCCTAACTAAAAAATCTAAAATGAAAAAGAATAAAAGCTTCAGCAAGGAGATTGTTCTCTGAAATATTACATATTTCTAAGTACACTAAAACAGAAATGGTCTAAACCTACAAGTATGGAAAGTTTGAGTAAACTACAGTATATCTATTTCATGGAATATTATATAACAAATTAAAATGAGTTATTACTTATATGAGGTCAACAATTGTGGTATTAATTTGAAGTGGTCCATAATTTAATATCCTTCACTTTTCATACTGACCCTCACTTAACATCCTGAATTCTTACATTCCTCTTTGCAGTGTTTCTCAAGCAGGGCACCACAGACATTTTGAACAAGACAGTTCTTAGTCCTGCGTATTGTAAAGGTTTAGGATTCTTGTTTCCCTCCCTGCCTATTAAAGTAGAGTCTCTAAGAAATGGCAGAGTTAGGCAAGTTACCAACAAAGATGACACTGCAGGCTCCTCAAAAGAACACAGTTTAAACATCAAATGAATAAAACAGGCCCTGGCAAGACTGAAAACACTCTCTAATCGCAAAAATGATCCACTATACAATCCTGCTACAAAGTCAAATGTGAATCCACAAATGAGTAAGTTCAAAACTTGAAGTTATTTTCTTTGAAGAAGTAATGCAAAATTACAATTTCAATTTTGCTGTAAAAAATTTATTCATAATTTTAAATGCCCCTTGTGAAGACAAATATCACATTTTTTTTTCACCATTTACAATGAAATTCTGGTATCTTTCTTCAAGAGATTCACTTCTTAATTTTTTGGACAAATTATCTTTGACAAATAAGGTTCTCCATTATTTTGAACTATAAAATTGTGACTTAAGATTTGGCATATGGTAAATAAAAGTAGATCTTGTTGCTTTGCCTCTGATTTTATGGGAAATTCATCCTTGTTTCAATTCAGAAATAGAAATCTGATTTCTAAAATGACTGTTATAAAGAATATTAATAACATTAACATGCTTATAATACTGTTTTAAAAACAAAATGCAAAACTGTATACACAGCATGATTATAATTTTTAACTGCAGGAGAAAAAATAAAGACTAAAAGGAAATGGATGGAAATATTAAAAGTGACAGACAATGGTTTATTCACCTCCCCTTCCAGGCCCCCAACACCTCCTCCCCACTTTTCTCCCATTTTCAAACTTTCTTAAATTGCTCCATTTACTTTTTTAAAATTTTTATTTATTTATTTATGGCTGTGCTGGGTCTTCATTGCTGCCCATGAGCTTTCTCTAGCTCGTGAGTGGGGGCTACTCTCCTTGCCGTGCGCAGGCTTCTCACTGCAGTGGCTTCTGTTGTGGAGCCTGGTCTCCAGGCCCACAGGCTCAGTAGTTGTGGCGCTGGGGCTTAGTTGCCCTGTGGCATGTGGGATCTTCCCAGACGAGGGACTGAACCCATGTCCCCTGCATTAGCAGGCCGATTCTTAACCACTGGATCACCAGGAAAGCTCCAGCCCATTTACTTTTATGATCTGAAAAAAACTGTTTAAAGTACTAACAAGGTACTCATGTTAATGGACAAGGATTTAAATAATGGTAGTATAAAACAGTACACTCTTTCTGGGCAGTATACATCAGAATCCTTAAAAACAATCTGCCCTTTAGTCTCATAATTCTTCAAGAACTTTTCTTAAGAAAGGTACATGGGTTTATTAGGAAGATATCCAACAAACTGCCAAGAATCTATCACTCTGATAGATGGAATTACAGCAGAGTTTAAGTATTTAAGTAATTAATGCATTTTTATAATTAGAAAAAAACTTTATTTAATAAAAAAAAGTATTAATAGAGAGTTAAACATGAGTTTCTACAAGTTTGCTACTTCCTTAACATGCTGCTGCTGCTGCTAAGTCACTTCAGTCATGTCGACTCTGTGCGACCCCAGAGACTGCACCAACCAGGTTTCCCCCGTCCCTGGGATTCTTCAGGCAAGAACACTGGAGTGGGTTGCCATTTCCTTCTCCAATGCATGAAAGTGAAAAGTGAAAGTGAAGTCGTGTCCAGCGCTTAGCAACCCCATGGACTGCAGCCTACCAGGCTCCTCCGACCAAGGGATTTTCCAGGCAAGAGTACTGGACTGGGTTGCCATTGCCTTCTCCACCTTAACATGAGTTTAGCTTATACATGTTTATGTGAAAAAAACAAGTACATGTGTAGAATTTGCCATTCACCAACACCTTTTATTCTAAAAGAGGTAACTACAAAGGACAAACTATGACCCTGGGTACCAGGCCCAAGTCTTTACTATACTTCTAGGACTGATGAGGGAAGAATTACAAGAGCAGCTCCATTCCGATAGGTGGTTAGGAAGGGACTCGTTGAGCCAAAACAAATTACAGATCCAGGCAGCTAACTTTAAACACATGACCCAGATAATTTAGCAGCTTTTGGAGTGGATCACCTAATGGATAGCAGGCTTGCACAGGAACATTCAGAACCAATACAACTATGACAGGTAAATTAATTATTTATGAATTGGAAAGTCCCTATTCATTCTATGAAACTTGTGTTAAATCCATACTAGTAAGAGCTACAGATCTGAGAACAACTGTCTGAGATTTCCTTTGCTTCTTTAAATAACCATCAGTGGACTTCCGGTTACACATGATTATAAGATGCTAGGCATTTAGGAAGTTTCCCACTAGCCTACTACTGTGTTTTGCAGAATTCCAAGGAAAGACTGGAAAAACAATGTTCACTTCGTTCTAAAGATTCTGGAGCTAATTACAATTCACCTTTACAAACCTCAGATGGGAAAATTTAGGACTGAAGAATAAAATAGTCTACAGGACTTTTTCTCTTTTTAAATAGTTTCTTATTTTCCATTATGCTCATATTTTCCCTCATATTTCCTTTACAAAATAAAGAAAAAATTTAAATGATCCATTCAAGCCATTTAAAAATGGTGCCTCTTCTTCCAATCATTCCATATTTATTGGTTGTTTTTTTCCTCCTTTTTATATTGGTGTGAACAAACTGGAAGAACAAGTTTGTCTGTTACTTCTTTAGCCTATCATAAGTATTTTTCCATATTATTACAACCTCTTTAAATACTTTACATTTGCTTCACAATATTCCACTGAGTGAACAATCTAAAGCAATCCTTCATTCATGGACATTTACATAGTGTCTAATTTGTCACTAATATAAATAATGCCATAATGTGTATTTTTTATAATTACTTTTTGGATATGAATAGTTAAGGTTCTTGATGTTGCTATTGTTGTTGCTATTCTGTCGTTCAATCATGTCCGACTCTTTCCAACTGCATGGACTGCAGCACACCAGGCTTCCCTGTCCATCACCATCTCCTAGAGCTTGCTCAAACTCATGTCCGTTGAGTTGGTGATGCCATCCAACCATTTCATCCTCTGCCATCCCCTCTTCTTCCTATCTTTAATCTTTCCCGCATCAGGGTCTTTTCAAATGAGTCAGTTCTTCACATCAGGTGGCCAAAGTATTGGAGTTTCGGCTTCAGCATCAGTCCTTCCAATGAATATTCAGGATTGATTTCCTTAGGATTGACTGGTTTGATCTCCTTGCAGTCCAAGGGACTCTCAAGAGTCTTCTCCAACACCACAGTTCAAAAGCATCAATTCTTCAGTGCTCAGACTTGCACCTTTTAATTTCATGGCTGCAGTCACCATCTGCAGTGATTTCAGAGCCCAAGAAAGAAAAGTCTGTCACTATTTCCATTGTTTCCCCATCTATTAGCCATGAAGTGATGGGACCAGATGCCATGATCTTAATTTTTTGAATGCTGAGTTTTAAGCGAGCCTTTTCACTTCCTCTTTCACTTTAAGAGGCTCTTAGTTCCTCTGTTTTCTGCCATAAGGGTGGTGTCATCTGTGTATCTGAGATTACTGATATTTCTCCCAGTAATCTTGACTTCAGTTTGTGCTTCATCCAGCCCAGCGTTTCTCATGATGTACTCTGCATATAAATTGAACAAGCAGGGTGACAATACACAGCCTTGACATATTCCTTTCCCAGTTTGAAACCAGTCTGTTGTTCCATGTCCAGTTCTAACTGTTGCTTCTTGACCTGCACACAGATTTCTCAGGAGGAAGGGGTAAGGTGGTCTGGTATTCCCATCTCTTTAAGAATTTTCCACCATGTGTTGTGATCCACACAGCCAAAGGTTTTGGCAAAGTCAATGAAACAGAAGTAGATGCTTTTCTGGAACTCTCTTGCTTTTTCGATGATCCAGAGAATGTTGGCAATTTGATCTCTGGTTCCTCTGCTTTTTCTAAATCCAGCTTGAACACCTGGAAGTTCTCGATTCACGTACTGTTGAAGCCTAGCTTGGAGAATTTTGAGCATTACTTTGCTAGTGTGTGAGATGAGTGTAATTGTGCAGTAGTTTGAACATTCTTTGGCATTGCCTTTCTTTGGGGTTGGAATGCAAAACTGACCTTTTCCAGTCCTGTGACCACTGTTGAGTTTTCCAAATTTGGTGGCATATTGAGTGCAGCATTTTAACAGTATCATCTTTTACGGATTTGAAATAGCTCAGCTGGAATTCCATCACCTCCACTAGGTTTGTTTGTAGTGATGCTTCTTAAGGCCCATTTGACTGCACACTCCAGGATGTCTGGATATAGACGAGTGATCACACCATCATGGTTACCTGGGTCATCGAGGTTCTTGAGTACCTTGCAAAATGATTTTCCCAAAGAGTTGTACTTATGGACCCTCCCCAGTATCCACTGTTGTGTTTATTTTAGCATATGTTGTTTTCAATTAGGCATCTTAGAACTTTGCAAAACTGATACATAAAAAAATAGTATCTTTCATTTCCTTCACCATTACTGAGTTAAACATTTTGTTGTATGTTGATTAGTTTTATTTCCTCTTATGAACTGCCTGTTATGATCTTCATCTATTGGGTAGAGTTTTCACATTTTAAAATCAATTTTACAAGTTGTTTATATGTAAAAAAAAAAAAGTTGCCAATATTTGTTGCAATTTCCCACCAACCCTCCATCCCCATTTTGCTCAACTCAATATGCTTTTAATCTTTAATGTTGTTTTGGATGGATATTTTTAGATATATAGAAATTTAGGCATTTTATGTGGTCAAATACATTGACCTTTTTCTTTATGATTTCTTCTATTATTTTTAAAGTTAGAAAATCCTAACCTTCCACATGTGATTTTCATAAACATTTACTTATATCTTCTATTATGACTTAACTTTTTGATATATGACTCCTAAGTTTTTGGGGGGCATTTTTTTTCCCTTTATATACAGTGTGAGAAGAGTTAAACAGATTATCTGCCTCACAAACCAAGCCAGTTTTCCTTGAAAACATTATTAGATTTCCCATCTAATAGAAAAAAATGACTGGATAATATTTTCCTTTCCATTGATTCAAGATTCCTTTTTATCATATACATAATCTGGCCATATATTCTATATTACATAATGTAATACTGTAATAATAATATATAATATAAGAGCTACTTCTGAGCTACTTAGCCTGATCTATTAATTAGTCTACCCTTATACTAATACTACACTATTTTAATAATATTTTTTCATGGCAGGTCGAGAAAATCCTCTCCCATTCCTGTCTCTTCCCTCAGATTTTACTATTTATGGTTCACAATAAAATTTCAGAACACTTTAGATCACATTCTCAAAAATGTTCTATTGTCATTTACTTTGGCCAGAACTAATATCTTTACTATCTTTACGATAGTCTTTTCATTCAGTTTCACAACAGTCCACTTAGTCTATTTAGGCTCCAAAGGAGTGAGATCCCTTTAGGACTTTGTGTAAATTTGACACTAGGAGTATCACATCAATTTAGTTAGTTATAAATGAATTATCAAGCAATGAATAAGTAAGGGATGTTAGTCCAAGATGTACCCCTAGCTAGCTGTGTGGATGTGGACCATTTCTTTGACCATCTCCAAATCTGTTTCCTCACCTATTAAATGAACAGAACATCCAGTCAGCCTGTTTCACAAGGTCATGGGAAGTGAGAGATGTGAGCATAAAGAAAAGTCTGAATATGGTGGGGGTGGAAGGGGTTGGTGTGGCAGGCTGGTATTGTTAATACCAAAGGCAGAAAGTGTTACTTCTGGTGAATAGTGGGCCAAACTACTCAAAAAAGAAAGCAAGCTTTGAAACTGCATACTTGCCTTTTCCCAAGATAAAGAATCTCACAGTCATGTTGACAAATATCCAAGAGAATCCCAAGAACTGCACTAGATTATACATGAACAGGTATCCTTTCTTCAAGCTTGTAAGAGCTGAAAAGCAAAGAAAGGCAGAAAGATGTTAAAAACAGTAGTCACAGCAGGAGACAAGTATGTGGGGTTTACCTGGATGACTCCATCCCTCTTTCCTACATGGGTGCCCTAAGCTCCTCAACAAATACCTGGCCCAGATCTGCACCAACCGGCTCTTGGTCCCATAGAAAACAGATAAGGAAAATTATAAGGCACATTGTAGTCCAAGGTATATCTTCAGTGGTCTTTTCCCTCACAGTCTTGAAGGGTAAGTATACAGACTTAACAAATCCAAGAAGGAAAAGGAAAAACTACATCTGACAAAGAATAACTGACTAGCTAAGGAGGCATTATAAGGAAAGGAAACAAAGCTATATTCAGTCCTTGCTCCTGTCATCTTAATATAACCTACAGTTTCTTCTTTTCTAGAATTTTTTTAGGGCACATAGGTCAAACTACCTCAAAGAAATACAAACTGAATTTTAAAAAATCTAATATTTGATCATGTATCCATCCAACCAAACATTAAGTGAACACCTACAACATGCAAGATACTGTAAGTGGCATCACTGAGCTTCAAAGATGGTTAAGACATGATGCTCCTAACCCTAACCCTAACCCTCAGAGAGTTTACAATCTAAAATCCATATTACAAATTGAGAGTGACAGGTAATATCCTGTGAGAATTTCAAGGTGAGAAAATGACTTTAGACTAGAGAAGTATGTATCAGGTCAAGTCTGCAGGATGAGATGGTTACCTAATCAGGGCCTGGGAAGATGGAAGAATGAGGATATAACCAAAGGCAGAAAACTGCAAGCCAAGAAGGGAGGAGAATAAAGGTCATTAACTTTGCAGCCTAAGGGTTTGCAAAGACATAGCAAATAACGGAATTAAGGGAGGAGTAAGGAGCTTAGGCAGAGTCACTGGTTGAGGCAAAGGAAAGAATAATTAAGAAGAGCTTTGGAGTTCAGGTTTTGCTGCTACACATTTATTCCTACCTACATATTTTTATAGCCACATATCAGTGTTTCTATAGAGATATCCAGCATAGACACTTGGTTGATGCTCAAATAATCACACTTAGTATGTCCAATCAAAAACAGCCTTTTCCCAAGGGGTCAAAAAAGTCATACTTGCAGCAACATTTAACAAATTAAAATGTTTTTTCTTCAAAACTACAAAAATGTATTACATTTCCCCATTTAAAGAACTTTATCAGGAGACTTTATGAATTTAGATAAAACTGTTAAAGCTTTCTCTAAGATCATAAAATAATCCATACATAAGAATTTGTACACATTTCAGAAGTTTATCCCCCTAAAACACCAAAAAATTAAATTTCAAGGTGGCTTTTTTATGTCGTTATTCTTCATCTCCACTAATCCTCTCCCCTCTTCTGCTTTTCTAAAGCAGAAAATTCCTCTAAATTAGTGGTTATTCAATTTTTTTTTAAAGCAACAAATTGTCTTTTCCATAAGAAGTGTTATCCAGGACGCTAATACATAAAGCACAAAAGCCAAGCTGCTCTAATTGAAGTGGACCCGCCTGCTTGGCTTACCTCTCCATAGCATCTCTGGGAAACCCTAGGGTACCATGGAACATAGCTTGAAAACAACTGCTCTAAAATTTCCCCTTCAGTCGTCTCCAACTCTTTGCGACCCCATGGAGCATACAGTCCATGGGATTCTCCAGGCCAGAATACTGGAATGGGTAGCCTTTCCCTTCTCCAAGGGATCTTCCCAACCCAGGAGTCGAACCCAGGTCTCCCACATTGCAGGCGGATTCTTTACCAACTGAGCTCTGAGGGAAGCTCTTTCCCAATTTATGGCATGCCAAATAAGAGCCACTAAAACTTGAAAAGTTTTTTATTTTGGACAATGAGGAACAGTTATTTATTCTGCTTTTCGGCATTAATTTTGTATAGACCTGCATGGTCCTCCAACTAAAATGGATAAGCTCTTCGAGCACAGGTGCTCTGATGGATTCACTGGCTCCAAAGCTCAAAGGCCTAGGACAATGCTTTCCAGAAAGAATGACTTTAAGATAGCTGCTGAACTTAATCTATGATACCCAGAAGACAACACGCTTACAGAGTTTCTTGCTTGGACAGACAGAGAAATAGAACTGAATTTTTAAAAGGTTAATGAACAGCAGGACTATACAGAATACTTTCCATCTTTAAGGCTGACAACCACAGCCCTTATGATCTCGGTTAGGAAAACAACACCAGATTGGAAGAACCGTAGTCATGGACCATGCAGTAATTTCCAGGTCTCTGCAGGACTTGCTGCCACCGAGCACCCTACTGGGCCAGTCCAGGGGGCTGAGGTTCTTCCATTCCACTACACCAACCTTGGTGTACCCAGATGATGCCAGGCCCCCCAACAGAAGGGAAACATTAGAAGTAAATAACCCTTTTGATGTGGGTTTGCACAGCTTAAGCGCTGGACATGAAGGATTTCTCACAAACTCATCCGCCCAATACGAGCCCTCCTGTCATGTCACACTGATCCATACTCCCAGCTCTGTCACAAGTGAACTGGCAACTACCATAGCAGCAGGGGCAACTTACTTTCAGGGGAGCCTTGGCTTTCCAGTCTGAGTTTATTTAAGCGTTCTTCTTCCTAGAATTTGGACAGAAGTTTTCCAAGAACACAAGTTAGACTACTGTATGGTACAGGGAACTATATTCAGTATCCTGTAATAAACCATAAGGGAGAAGAATATGGAAAAGGATGTGTATATATGTGTATACGTGAGTCACTCTGCCGTACAGCAATAATCTATCTAACATTGAATTTTAATTATACTTTAGTAAAAAAATAAACTGGAAAAAAAAAAAACCACAAGCTAAAACCCCCAGATGCTTGCAGAAGCCCATGAGAGAGAAATGATCTGACTCCTTCAAAGCCACCTCCTCCTCCAATTGTGTTCTCACTCCCTTGGGGAAAATGTCTGAACCCATGGTCCTAAAAAGCCTGATTCCTTACTGGGTAGCACTGGCACTACAGAATGACCATCCAGTGCTCACAGAATTACACCAATCAACTGGCTTCCACACTACAAAGTGGGCAGCCTTAAGATCTTAGAGCTGGAAAAGACATCTAGAAAATTTGTCATGGTTGTAGAAACAAAACAGAAATTTAAGACAGGAAATAGACTGATATTTCATTTTTTAAGACTTTGATAATTTTCCAGAAGCTAAAATCAAATCTCCAACATCAGTGTGGCTTTATATTAGAATAATATAGATATAGATGGACATATATGGAAATACTTATAGATATATGTATATACATGGGCTAGTATACACACATATATTTCCTTGTGCTGTCAGCTGAGAGAACCTAAAAGCAACACCTCAGTAGCAGTGAGCACACTTAGCACCCAGATCACCTAGATCCTGGTTTCCACTATCATTCTGCAATAAAAAGAACAGGCGTGGGGATATACCAGATAAACCTGGAGCAGTTTACAGTGCCAAAAATTAAGGATGCATTTTTAAAAAAAAAGGCCCATGATGATGGAGCTGTGTCAGAGGGACACAAAAGCCAACTGCAAGAGCTTCCAGTGGCCAAAGATAGAACAATCTGAGAAACAAGATATATAACACGGTATTGGATTACAGCCCAAACGATAAAACAAATCTGTACTGATATGAGTAAATGACAATATCCATACTGATATAAATAAATGACAATAAATAAAGGATAAGAGGAAAATCTCCCATGCAGAAGAATTCCAAATACAGTATACAGATACTCCACCCTAAGAATGGGAAGCATAACTCCTGGCTCCTTAAGTGTGGACTGTGCATAGTGACTTCCTTCCAAAGAAAACAGTAAAGGAAGGAGAGGAGTAACATCACAGTGGAGAAACCTACCAAAACTACCTACATCCAGGTGATCAAGACTGGCATCGACAGCTGTAGTCACGTTGAGAGTATACAACCTTGACATGACATGATGAGAACGGCACTTCACCTCTGTGGGCTTCCTACCCAAGACCCATCACCCTAAGCTAATCACGAGAAAAACATCAAACAAAACCCAATTGAGGAATAGTCTACAAAATACATGACCAATACTTCTATAAAACCACGTCTCCAGGTCATTCAGGGAATTTAGATTTTTGTCCTTATTCTATCAGATCCTGACAGATATCTGAGGTGGCCCATATAACCTGGGTTCCTCATGACTTCTGTCTAGATCCCAGATCCTTACTAACCTTGGCTCTGAGCTCCATTTCAGCATCAGACTCGTCCAGCCAACGATCAAAGTCAGGGGCCAAGAAGAGTGGGCGCTTCTCCTGCTTGGTGAGTCTCTCCCACCACTGACTCACCTTCTTCTGTACAGTGATGTTGACCTGCCTCTGGGTCAGTTTGTAAACCGGCTAGGAGAGAAAGCAAGAACGTGAGAATGCCCTTTCCCATGCCCCCTCCTTCCCTTGAAACTGCACAGGCCACTGAGGCTGCAGAGAGAAGCTGCATGATCCTTACTGCCGTTCCTTCTCGGCTCCCAAAAGTCCGGAGGCAGAGCATCTAGACCAAGGGCTGGTATGAGGGAGAACTGCTAAGAACGGCAGTGTCTTGCTCTGGTTCCCTCCCCACCACCCTGCCCGGCTGAGGACACAGGAGGAAAGCCGGATAAGAAAGGCAGATAGCCTTGGTTATCTCGGCAGAAACTAGCATGAACACCTTACTGGAGCTACATCATGCCAGGCACCACATCCAACCACCTTCTCAGGTGCACCAACTGCCTTCCAAATCTTCTTCCCATGAAGATGATTCAATTCAAATGGTCAGTGGTTTCCAGCATCTAGAAAGGCCTGCATCAAGGCCAGAACTGTAGTGTATCAGTTACAGCTTTTTTACAAGCAGTCTTTCACTACAGAGCCTTCTCAACTAAGCTCAATTCTCAGGGGCTGTTCCAACTCCTTATTTCTCTGTAAGGCCTCTCTCTTTGCCTCCAAAGCAAGTCCCAGACTGCTGACTATTAAGAAACTCACAGCTGGAAAGAAACTGAGAGATCCCCTTAACCCAATCCGTCATGTAACATATGAGAAAACTGAAATGCAAAGAAGTGAGGAGACTTCTTCACACCACTAATAATGACACAGCCCAGATTCAACTCAGGTTCTCCAATTTTCCTCTTACTCTGTGGCTAACACCTGGGCTCTGTTCCAAACAAAAGTATATTCTGCTTAGGTTTATCTTCTTCCCCGTAAGGCTTGCCCCCCATTTCACAAAACTATTAAGTATTTATTTCTTAAATTAGAAAGGGAAGTAAGGAAGGAAAGAACATACCTCTGGCTTCACAAGGTCTAAGAACTCCAGGTGAAATTCATAAACATTGTCTCCTTTGGCACCATGCCCCTGAGCTATAAAGAAATGTAGGTTGCTGTGAACTTGAGCAAAGCAATGCTATTCAAATGTTAGCTTGGTACACTTCTTTCAGAAGTATGCAAATATTAACAGGTCCTCCCAACTGAGTGGGGGTTTGTGAGCAGAGGTACTCAACAGCTAGATGAAAGCTAAATCCTGGACAAAAGTTTATCTCCTTATGACTTTCTGATGATCAATTCCAGAATATTTACTTAATCTTCTAATGAGGCCTCAATGATGGCCAGTATAAATAACAGACAAGAAAAAAGAATACAGAAAGCAAAACCAAACATAACACATAGATATAAATTTAACTCTCACATTTACTTTGGCTCTGAATCCACAACAGAGAAAAGTCAAGTAGGTGTATTCTCTTGATTGCAATTAAGGAAAGTTGCAGGGTACATGGACCCTCTCATGTACCGTCTCAAAGAAAATTCTAAATTTAACATCTTCTAACCAGAGACGGGAAATTTTTCAGGTGACACCAGTGATAATGAACCTGCCGGCCAGTGCAGGAAACATAAGACATGAGTTTGATCTCTGGGTCAAGAAGATCCCCTAGAGGAGGACATGGCAACCCATTCCAGTATTCTTGCCTGGAGAATCCCATGCACAGAGGAGCCTGGGGGCTACAGTCCATGGGGTCACAAAGAGTCGGACAGGACTGAAGCAACTCACACACACAACCAGGGATAGACAATGGACTGGCTGACTGCTCCTTTAGCACATTCCAAATGGGATAACAAAGAGAAATAACATTTTCTCAGCTCATTCCCGAGAGGACAAAAGGAACTAGGAGGAAAGTCCTCAGGTTGACCATCATGCCACTCCTGGGCCGTGACATGGCATTTCCCCCCAAAGGAAGCAGTTGCCATGCCTAAAAGCCAGTGACTATGGGATGTCCCTGCCCTCTAACTCTTGGGATTATCTTTCCTCATCTGATCATTTGTGGTAAGACTTGCCTATTATGTGCTACAGGTAGCTATTATCTAAGACCATAAATTCCTTAAGGTAGGACAGTCTAGAAAGCTCCACATGGCAACATACACGTTTATCGTTTTAATTTCCTTTCAAATGCTGAGCTCCCTCCAAAATCTAAGCCATTACCACCATAGCTCTCACTTGGAAAAGTAGATTCAAAAGCCAGGCTGTGCTTTCATGTAAGTATATTAAGGTAGATGGAGTCTCATATAAGGCAGAAACTCTTCAGTCTCCCACAACCCTAGTCACTTACTAATGACATTCCAAGGAACCAGAATAGAGAGACAGCAGGGAGAATCCCACTCCACTGGGCATCAACGAATCCAGACCTACTCTCTCAGGCTCAGGAGGAAATTTCCTGATGAACTAAGAAGGAAATGGAGGTGAATTCACAGAATCAAAGACTCTCAAGAGTTGGAAAGGCTTAAGATATTGTCTAAAGTACAGTGTTTACGCCAGTCAGGATGGCTGCTATCCAAAAGTCTACAAGCAATAAATGCTGGAGAGGGTGTGGAGAAAAGGGAACCCTCTTACACTGTTGGCGGGAATGCAAACTAGTACAGCCACTATGGAGAACAGTGTGGAGATTTCTTTAAAAAATGGAACTAGAACTGCCATATGACCCAGCAATCCCACTCCTGGGCATACACACCGAGGAAACTAGATCTGAAAGAGACATGTGCACCCCAATGTTCATCGCAGCACTGTTTATAATAGCCAGGACCTGGAAGCAACCTAGATGCCCATCAGCAGACGAATGGATAAGAAAGCTATGGTACATATACACAATGGAATATTACTCAGCCATTAAAAAGAATACATTTGAATCAGTTCTAATAAGATGAATGAAAGTGGAGCCCATTATACAGAGTGAAGTAACCCAGAAAGATAAAGACCAGTACAGTATACTAATGCATATATATGGAATTTAAAAAGATGGTATCGATAACACAAAATGGAAAAAGAAACACAGATGTACAGAACAGACTTTTGGAATCTGTGGGAGAAGGTGAGGGTGGGATGTTCTGAGAGAACAGCATTGAAACAAGTATACTATCAAGGGTGAAACAGATCGCCAGCCCAGGTTGGATGCATGAGACAAGTGCTCAGGGCTGGTGCACTGGGAAGACCCAGAGGGATGGGGTGGGGAGGGAGGCGGGAGCGGGGATCGGGATGGGGAACACATGTAAATCCATGGCTGATTCATGTCAAAGTATGGCAAAAACCACTACAATACTGTAAAGTAATTAGCCTCCAACTAATAAAAATAAATGAAAAAAATTTTAAAAAATAATAATAAAGTACAGTGTTTATTAAACTGGTCTGTCAGTATAACATCAGGGAGCCACAAAGTCTCATTAAGAAAATTTCTATTTTTTGGTTTTGTTCTAATATTTTTAAAAAGAAGCATATTAGGAGTCATCTAGATGGCTACCTTATAATCAAGTAATACTTACTATATGGGTTCAGTGGCTGTTTGCCACTGCATTCACAAGTGTAATGGCATCAAATATCACTTACAGTGACCATATTTAACTCTTAACATGTTTCTCAATCTAGCGTCTATGGCCCTAGAGGCTCCTGTAGATATATGTTCAGGTGCCCTTGGATCTTCAAGTTTAAGAAACACAGATTATAACCCAATATTCTAATTTTATAGGCCCACATAAATCAGTAAGTTGTCCAAAGTAGTAGCAGAATTTTAAGCTAAAAGATAAATCTCCCTATTTCTAACCTAGGATACCATTTTGCTATAGCTACTGCCTTTCCCAGGGGAAAGTGGGATGTTAAACAAATTATTGAGCTCTCTGATCTTATACCTCAAAACAACATAATTCACCCCACGAGTATCAGAAAGGTAAACATCAATAGTGAGTAAAATAAACAGATAAAAATAAAAAGCAACCATCACAATGTCTCCTTAACTGTTAGAGGTCTGGGAACCTTTGCCCAGATACTGACCTTTGAAATGTAGCACATTTTCAGTGATGCTGATGGCAGGATTCTGTGGAAAGAGACCAAGAAAGCAAGAAGGACAGTTCAATGAAGAGAAAAATTAAATTAAAACCAGTGGCTTACTTCCCTCCCTACATCCTTCCACCTTGGGGATTCCACCTTCCTGCCCTGTGCTTCCTCCAGAAAACATATTCAGTCATTTCCTCCCGTCTCAGTGGAGGGTTTGTCTGTATCTATCTGTACACATGTGAGATTGCAAGCTCCCGCAAGAAGGACCCTACACTGCTCTGCTGCGCCGAGCAATCATATACTGAATCGGTCCATCCTACTCAAGGTCAGCGGAACACGGGGCCATGTGAGATGCCGTGAGGGAATACACAGATCTCTAAGACTCAGTCCCTGAGCTGTGGAGGCAGGGAATCTAGTAGAACAGATGAGTCATATCCTGTGAGAAGAAACAATATAGTATCAAGTAACATATGCTCAAGACCAAAAGAGTAGTAAAAACACTTAAGTTTTTACGGGCATTTAAGAAGAGAGTGAGTACAACAGGAACAGAACGGTTGGGGACAGCCTTACCAGGAGTGACACCCATACGGCATCATGAAAAACAAATTAATTCCTGTATGTTAAATGAAGGGCTGCAGATTACAGGCAGTTGAATGAAAATGAAAATGTGCGGTCCCTTAGTCTTAGGCTCCACGCTCTCTTAACCTCTATCCAAACCAAGACTAGAAGAGATGGAAATTCTCCAAATTGTTCATTTATTCCCAGAAGTTGCTATGTGCCTTTTAGCAACTTAACTCTTAGCCCCTCCCCAGGGGGTGAGAAACAGTTTGCCTCCTAACTCCCAGATCAAAATTAACAGGCAAGAAGCAGCATGTTTCCAGTGCCATAACTAGTTCATTTACTCTTTTGTAGGCTCTGCTCTCTGCGGTCCATCTTGCATCAAAGAAAAACAAATGAGACAGAGAGAAGGTAAAGGCGACGTTTATTCTAACAGTGGGAGCCTAAATGCTTCATTCATAGCCAAGTGTTAGGAAAAGGGGGAGCATGAAGGCTGGGTTAGGGAGCTTTTAAGCCAAGAACCTCCCCAGTGAGAATATAGACTTGAGGCTGAGAAGCTCACCCACAGGGGCTAATAATCCAGATGATCTCTGTGCCAGGGAGAGGGAATTAAGGAACTTCATCAAAAAAGTTATACTTTCAGGGGCATGGCTCTTCTATAAGGGAAACAGGGTTTTAGAGTGAGTATTACCATGAAAGCTTGAGTTCTGGGATGTCTTAGTGGTACATTTCCTGTCTAGGTCACTTCTTTCCTGTGTTCCCCATATCCTAATTCACTTCGAAAGGAGAAAAGGAGTTTGTGGGGGGCTCAGTTTATTCTCCTCAGACATAAGATGTGTGCAGCCAAGGTTTAAGCTCTAGCCACAGCACAAGGCCTGCAGTTCATTAAGCATTGTGAGTCAGATTTTAGATGCTAACTCCTTCCCTGGTAGCTCAGTCAGTAAAGAAACTGCCTGCACAGCAGGAGACCAGGGTTCAATCCTTGAGTCAGGAAGATCCCCTGGAGAAAGAAATGGCAACCTACTCCAGTATTCTTGCTTGGAGAACCCCATCAACAGAGGAACCTGGTGGGCTACAGTCCATGGGGTCGCAAGAGTCGGACACAACTTAGCAACTAAACCACCATCAACTCCTACCCAGCAGTACGCTGGGCATGTCAGGTTCAGCTTCTCCAAAGGTGTGGGTAATTAAGGAAGATATTTCAATTAAAATTTTTTTTTTTGCCAGAAACAAGCTCAAAACTGGGAAGGGAGAGACATGGAAGCAATAAAAAAAAAAAATCTATGTCCATAAATGAGATTGGCCTATAATTTCCCTTTCTTATAACTGCATCATCAAATGAACTGGAGAATGTTCTCTCTTTCTCTTTTCTGGAAATGCAAGTATAAGTCTGCTGTGGTTGCCACCTGCAAGATGCCCCCCCATGATCTTCGCCCCCTGGTATTTATACTCTTGTGTAATCACCTTCCACATGACATCAGGAATCTGTGTAACCAATAGAACACAGTGGAAATGAACGATGTGACATCTCATGCTAGGTCATAAAAAGCACTGCAGCTTCCTTCTGAGCTCGCTCTGGGAAAACTCAAGACACCACGGTATGAGGACACTCAAGAAGTCCCACGTATCTTCTGTGGGGATAACTCATGGATACCCACTTGCCAATAAGGTGAGTGACACATCCTTGAAGAGTCTACTTCAGGTCATCATACGTTGTCAACCACAAATGACGTCTGAACAACCACATGAGAGATCCCAAGCCACAACACCCAAGTGAGTCTTTACTGAAGGACTCAGAAATGGAGAGATTGACTTTTGTGTATGGCATAAGACAAGATCTTATTTTATCTTTTTGCCACTTGGATTACCAACTGTCCCAACACGATCTCCTGAATGGTTCACCCTTTCCTCCATTAAGGGTGAAGCCACCCTTAATTTGTAAAGCCACACTGTTGTTAATAAGTTTTCACATATGGATAAGTCTATTCTGTTCTATTGCTCTTTGTGTTTCTCATCTAAGGTTTAGTATCACAATAATAATGTTTTACACTTGAGTACCACACTAGAATTCACAAAGCACTTTCAAATCTATTATCCAATTCAAGCCTCAAAACAATCCTGTGAATTAGGTGTTATTATTCACATTTATTTGTATGAAGAGACTGAGGCTCAGAAGGGTTAAGTGAATAATCCACGGACACCAGATATTAAGTGGAAGAGTAAGGAACCAACTCTTTCCACCAGACTCTCTATTAGGTAAGAACAGTATCTTTCAAACAGCTCCCAAACAAAGCTACACACACAGCCCTCATACAACGGAAATGAACAAAAACCTCGAAAAATGAACAAATGCTTTAACAACTATGGTTGTTGGCACAAATCTGTCCTTCATGCTTATCCTGTAAACCAACTTCATTCTGAAAGTAGCCGTGCCTTAGCCCCAGTGGACCCTCACTGCTGTCTTTGCTCAAGCTCACTGCTCAGCTCAAACGCAGAAACAGCTGCTGACGAGGTCTTTTTCTTCTCACTTCAGTCGTCGTTTCTCATCAGGCACTAGCTCTACAGCTCCAAAGACGGAGGAGAGATGTGAAAACCTGATAGTTCTCTGTGTCTCAGGAAGGGAGCATGTCGGATGCCCCCACACTGGAATCCAACACTGAAACTCACACATAAGCCACAGAAAGCAGGGGGCGATAGAGAACTGTCCGACAATCCAGAACCCGGCTTAACGTGAGACAGAAGCAGGTACTCCACAATGGCCTTCATTAAGCAAATAAACGAAACGCTTCATCCCAAGTCAGAATCATTGGTTCCACAGGCCATGCGTGGAGCAATTAATTGGGAAGTTTTTAAAAAGGAGTAGCCCCTGACATTCAAAAGCTGGCCTGGCATTCACAGCTAGGACACGTTACTCTGCTGTAATACACGAACAGAATACCTTGATAAAATGAGATAAAGCCACTGCATAATTCTGTGCAAACACAGACAAAAACACGGCCACACTGCCACCCACAAAACATCAGTCACCCTGCCTCTCGGCCAAAATAAGTGACTGCCACTTCTCTACCAATTAGTTTTATTCTTGTTCTAGTCTCTCTTCCCTACATATGATTTATTCAGATACTCAACCACAGCATTGCTCCTATTTTCTGACAGCATCTAATCTAAAGTGATTCCTCGCTTCCTTAGTCTGTCCCTCAGTCACCAAAGTCCAAATCCTATAATCAGTTGTAACATTCTAATGAGCTAGCCCACAGGGTAGGCTCTTCCCTGCAGATCTGAGCAGTAAACACAACTTGTTTAACTAGAGGTGTGTTCCTGGCAGCCTCTGGTTATAGGGCGTTGACTCCTACAACAAATCAGATGATCTGAAAGTCTACGTCGTCCTCTTTCCAGAAAGCTCTCCCAGTTTCAGTCTGACAAGAATACTTCATCTTACTTCCGTAAAGTGAAAGTGAAAGAAGTCCCTCAGTTAGGTCCGACTCTTTGCAGCCCCATGGACCATAGCCTACCAGGCTCCTTCACCCATGGGATTTTCCAGGCAAGAGTGGGCTGCCATTGCCTTCTCCAGGGGACCTTCCCAACCCAGGGGTCGAACCCGGATTTCCTGCATTGCAGACAGACACTTTACCGTCTGAACCATCAGCAAAGCGATAAAACAATAAATAAAAGCCACCAGGGAATTAACAAAAGAGAGGTAACAAATGCCTTTAACACCAGGGACCTGATTTAATACTCAGCCCCAAATCTATCAATAAACATACTCATGCACAGAACTTTTTGTTTGTATATAATATCCTTCCTCTTAGATAGCATACCCTTGGAAAGCTGAGTCTGTCTGACTCATCTTTGTAAATCTGTAGTATTTCACACATGGTAGGGGATTTCTTTTATGAATGATACTGACATGTTACTTTAAAACTAATGGTAGCACCAATGGATGCCTCAGAATCACAGACAAGAAATCTAAGGGGGAAAAAAAAAAAACTAAACTGAGGACAAAATATTTATTTTTTTCCCTAAAAATAAAAAAGGATTTCTCTTTCCAAAAGAAAATCTCATTTTTCCCCTCCACCTTTACATTTCTTTAACTATAAGATATTCCAAATGCATACATTCACATTTGAAAATATACCAAATACAATTAACACATATGTTCATGTCTCTTAACTAAAAGGTTTAGAACTTTCAGGAAAAATTTAACTGTGATGCTTTCATTTACCCAACAAATTTACATTTTTTTCCCCACCAACACCACCCTACCTCCCCTAAAAACAGCTTTTCTGTTTGTGTTTCAGAAGTATGCCATGATATCACATCCTTACTACAACTAGAGAGGGTCTCTGAGTTTAACTGGGCTACAAAATGCTTAACTCAGTATCTAAGAGACACTGCCACGACACAAGGTTCATACTTTTCTTATTGATTACTGTTAGAATTCTCTCTAGAGAGAGACCTTGATCCCCGTATACAAAGATTTTGCTTTTTTCCTTTTTCATTAAAACACCCTGAAGCAGAGTAGAGGAACACTGCATAGAACATTTATTCATCCTCTTGAGGTAGAAGTATAATTCAGCCTGGTTTAACATATTAAACGACACAGCATGCAGTGTCACAGCCTAAAGCAATCTGGCCAGTACTATCTTTCAATAGGAAAACAGGTTTATATTCCAGAAGCAAAGACTGAATTCAACAAACTCAAGTCTACAATCAAAGATCACCTATAACTTGCAAGACAATATGCCAGATGGGCTGACAGAACTGAAGATAAACGCCTGACTCAGAGGCAGAGAGTTAAGCCGGAGTGAGGGAGGTTATAAAGTGCCATAGATGTCAAGGAAAGTAGGGAGGAAGAACGACTGTAGAAAGAACATTCCAGACTAAAACTTCAGGTCCTCAACGATGGGAATCCTGGATGGTTTTGACAGAGACAGAGGGGTGTATAGATCCTGAGATGGCCACCATTTAGGAAGCCTCAGCTTGTTCACATGGAAGTCAATAAGATCAAGCACAAATGCTCAATGTGAGTTAAGATAATTTTGAAGTTCTGTATGCAGCTGAGCAAATGTGACCCCACAGTTTTCAGAAGCGGGGGGAAGCACTCCTTCGGGGTCTTCTGGACTTTAAAATGAACAAGAATGATTTCCATCACTGAATGGCTGGGAGGTGGGTGTGCCCCCCTCCCACCGCCCGAGGCAGCGGCGGGCCTCTTGAAGGTCCGAGGGGACCGCTGGACCTCTAAGACCAGCGCTGGACATCCAGCCGCGGCCAGGCAAGCCGCTGTCACACTGCATCTCCGACCCAACGAGCTCATCCCACGCCTCGAGGGGCCTCGGCAAACCCGAATCCAGACAGCCAGGCCTCCAGGGCCAGGCTCGGGCTCCACCAGGCCGCAAACTGCGAACAAAGAGGCTGCCGGGGCAGCCTCTGTTGCGCGGGGCTCACTCAGCACCCAAGGTAACTGAGCCTTCAGGGGGTCGCGACCGGGGTCTGCCTTGATGAGGGCCAGCCCGTGCTCTGGCCTGGCCGCCCAGAGCGCACCGCGTCCTGGATCCCGTTGACGCGCTGCTGGCTCTCCGGACAAAGAGGACGGGGGTCCCAGCGGGTCCCCAGAGCCGAGACCCGAAGCACGTCCCGCCGCCCGGCCTTTACCTGCACATCACTCAGCTCCACGCGCAGATACAGCTCGCGGTGCCGCTGAGCCCAATAGACGTGAGGCGTCAGCACCTGATTCTCCATGACCACACTGCCCAGAGCGGCTCGCCGCGCCTCGCTGTCTCAGGTAGTGCGCGGCTGGAGCTGGTCAGACGAAGGCCGCAAAGCCCCGCGCTCCGAAGTGCCGGCAGTCCGCAGCCTCCAGACGACCCACGCTCGCGGCCCGCGCCTGCGCAGTGGTGAGCGAGGGGCCGCGGCACAGCTCCCGGCCTCGCGGCGAGCCTGGCGGCCGGGGCGGGGCGGGGCGGCGGGGGCGGGCCTCAGGAGCGTGGGGCCTCGCCGCTCGCTGCGAACGCCTCCGGGAGTTGGCTGGTGCGTTGTCGTTCCCTCTTACCTGCTGGAGGACGGTTAAAAAATAAGCGTAAAAACTGAAAAACGCTGGAGACTCAGGAACCGATCAGCACAGAGAAAGGACTCGGGATTGGTCTATCTGAAAGGTTCCTCCCATTTGTCACTTATTAATTCAACATTTGTTGACCGTCTGCTATGTGCCTGGGCTGCAAAGATAAAACTCCGAAGCTTCAGGAGTAAGTCACAGAACCTGATGTCTTGAAACTCTCAGTCTTTTAAAAGCTGCAAGTAATTATAGACATAATAAATATGAGATGGTTATAAGGGAAGCGGTGGGAAAGCGAGGAAGAGGACGGAAGAGTGTTCTAAGAGAGGAGAGTAGGCGTAAAGGCCAAAGATTTCCAACGCTATCCCATAGAACTTTATACGATGATGGAAATATTCCATTCTGCGCTGTCCATAATGGTAGCCACTGCCACATGGGGCTTTTGACTACTCGAAATGTGGCTAAAGAGACTGAGAAACTGAATTTTTAATTTCCTTTACTTCTAATTGATTTAAATAGTCGCAAATTAATGGCTATTCTATGGGACAGCGCATGAGACTTGTATCTCTTTAAATAGGAAACCTAAATAGAGAGGACACCAATTTCTATCTAATTTAAACTATCGCGTCTGTATCCACTTTCAGCCCCAAGTCGACTTCCAGCAAAGAATTCGAAAGCAAGCAACATGACAACGAAAAGCAGAAGTCTGGGACAAAATTGAACTTTATAATTCAATCTGGTAGTACCCATTTATTTAGCAAAGTCCTGAGCACAGGGATGCAGAGATGAAATGATGCCAGTTCTCAGAAAACATTTAGCTCAGGGAATAGGTCATATAAAATTTAGAGGGCTTCAATGTAAGAAATATGCTGAGCTCCCAAAGAGGCAGGAAGGTAGGAGCTAAGGATTGTAGAAACCAGTAGCAGACATTTGAGAGCAAATCCGTGAGAGCGGGGCTGTGAAATGTGAGGAGGAATTTGATAGAGGAAGAAGCAGAGGTAAGGCAGTAGACCCACAGGTCAGGACTCCAAAGTTGAAGAGATATGGAGGGTTCTGAATATTGGGAGGTGGGGGCTTCCCAGGTGAATCAGTGGTACAGCGTTTGCCTGCCAGTGCAGGAGATGCAGGAGATGTGGGTTGCATCCCTGGGTGGAGAAGATCCCCTGGAGAGAGAAATGGCAACAGACCCCAGTGTTCTTGCCTGGAAAACCCTGTGGACAGAGCCTGGTGGGCTGCAGTCCGTGGGATTGCAGTCAAACGTGACTGAGGAACTGAGCGCCCCTGCGCACAGCCTGGGGGTTACGGGCGCGGAGGATAGCGCTTTCCCTGGGTCTGGAAAGACAGATAGGGATTGGATGAGGGAAGACTGTTTTAATAGCTCTTTGTACTTTATCCCACAGACACAGAGGAGTCAAGGAACCTTGTTACAGGAGATTAGCAAAATCACATATGCACTGGGCAAAAAAAAAAAAAAACAGTGAGGAGGAATTAGTAGTAGGCAAACCGGTTGGAGGCGATACAATCTCCCTGTTATAACATAATGAAAACAGCAACCTTGATGGCCTTGAATTTTAAAAATAAAATATTTTTTTACTTATAAAAGTACTTTTATTGCATTGCTTTTACTACAGTGTAGACACAATTTAGGGCACATTTTAGAAACTGAGGTATAGGAACCAGGCAAATTCGACTTCAGCTGAATTTTTGCATGTTTATACCTGTATAATTAATTACTATCCAGATCAAGGTCTGGAACATTTCTAGCATACTACATGTTCTTTTATGTCAATATACATTTGCCTACCCTTCCCTACACCCCAATAATTACTATCATGACTTTGATTACCATAGGGTAGTTTTGAATCTCGTGTAAATGGGATCAACATATGTACACTTTGTGTCTGGTTTCTTTCATTCAACGTAATGTATTTGAGATTTATCTGTGTTGTATGAACACAAGTATGAATCAGTTCATACTTTTCTGGTTCTTGTATAGCGTTTCATTGTATAAACTTATCACAAATTGTCCATTCTCCTGTGATGGACATTGCATTGTTTTCCATTTTTAGCCATGAATATTTATGTACTTGCCTTTTGGTGGATATACTACCCGATTCTCTTGGGTAAATACCTGGAAATGGAATTGCTAGGTCATAGACTATGTATGTTGAGCATTTGTAGATACTATTAGGCAGTTTTACAAAGAGTTTTGATCAATTTACACTCACACAAGCAACATTTGAAAGTTCTAGTTGTTCTCAGTCATGTCCAACTCTTTGTGACCCCATGGACCTCATCACGCCAGGGTTCCCTGTCCATCACCAACTCCCGGAGCTTGCTCAAACTCATGTCCATCGAGTTGGTGATGCCATCCAACCATCTCATCCTCCGTCGCCCCCTTCTCCTTCTGCCGTCAATCTTTCCCTGCATCAGGGTCTTTTCCAATGAGTTAGTTCTTCACATCAGGTGGCCAAAATATTGGAGCTTCATCTTCAGCGTCAGTCCTTCCAATGAATATTCAGGACTGATTTCTTTTAGGATTGACTGGTTTGATCGCCTTGCAGTCCAAGGGACTCTCAAGAGTCTTCTCCAACACCACAGTTCAAAAGCATTGATTTTTGGGCACTCAGTTTTCTTTACGGTCCAACTCTCGCATCCATATATAACTACAGGAAAAACCATAGTTTTGACTAGATGGGCCTTTGTTGGCAAAGTAATGTCTCTGCTTTTTAATATGCTGTCTGGGTTGGTCAGAGCTTTTCTTCCAAGGAGCAAGTGTCTTTTAATTTCATGTCTGCAGTCACCATCTTCACTGATTTTGGAGCCCAAGAAAACAAAGTCTCTCACTGTTTCCATTGTTTTCCCATCTATTTGCCATGAAGTGATGAGACTGGATGCCATGATCTTAATTTTTTGAATGTTGGAATTTTAAGCCAGCTTTTTCACTCTCCTCTTTCACTTTCATCAAGAGGTTCTTTAGTTCTTCTTCACTTTCTGCCATAAGGGTGGTGTCATCTGTGTATCAGAGGTTATTGATATTTCTCCTGGCAATCTTGATTCCAGCTTGTGCTTCATCCAGCCCAGCATTTCTCACGATGTACTCTGCATATAAGTAAAATAGATAGGGTGACACTATATAGCCTTAACATACTTTTCAAATTTAGAACCAGTCTGTTGTTCCATGTCCAGTTAGAACTAGACTGTATGCTTCTTGCCCTGCATACAGATTTCTCAGGAGGCAGGTAAGATGGTCTGGTATTCCCCTCTGTTTCAGAATTTTCCACAGTTTGTTGTGACCCACAGAGTCAAAGGCTTTGGCATAGTCAATAAAACAGATGTTTTTCTGGAACTCTATTGCTTTTTCTAGTTGCTCTATTTCCTTGGTATTTTCAGTCTTTTAAATTTTAGTCATCCTGATAGTGATAGTGAAAGTCACTCAGTCATGTCCGACTCTTTTCAAACCCATGGACTATACAGTCCATGGAATTCTCCAGGTCAGAATACTGGAGTAAGTAGCCGTTCCCTTCTTCAGCGGATCTTCCCAACCCAGGAATCGAACCAAAGGCAGGCGGGTTCTTTACCAGCTGAGCTACCAGGAAAGCCCTGGTCATCCTGGAGGCTGTATAATAAAAATAATTTTAGTCCAGCATATCTGAACCCTGAGATTTATCAACTGACCTCTATCCAAGGTGAATTGAATTCAAGGCTCTTGGTAAGCAAGGAGACTGAATGTTGACATTTTGCCTCAGATGCTCCATAAGAAAAGTCCAGTGGAAGGGGATTTATCCAGACTGGTTCCACCACCAGTAAGCCACTGGATGGCTTCTCTGGGCCTGAGCTTCCATATCCATCCAATGAGAGCGTTAGAGTCACACCCTCCAATAGTCTTCTCAGCTGGTCCTAAAGTTTCCTGTGAGGACCGCTGATGTGGGCCCCTCTCTCCATGGGAAATACAGTAAAAAAAAAAAAAAAAGTAGAGATGGGGAAGGGAAAGAGTAGCAGCCAGGTATAAAAGATAGCAGAGGGGGGAAAGGCAGAGCAGGAGTAGCCCTGCCAAGCTGAATTAGGAAGGCCGAGGGTTTTATGATAATGCCAGTCAAATGAAAATGCAAATGAAGCACTGTCTGTGTTCTGCTTTCCGGGGAGCCTCCCCAGCCGTCTTTGGCCCAGGGTCACCCCTCCCTCCTCTGGCCACCAGAAGCATTTGCTGAGTGCTTTCTGCGGCTGAAGCACATGGTGGTCGTGGTGTCGTCGCGCAGTCGTGTCCGACTCTCGTGACCCCGTGGACTGCAGCCTGCCAGGCGCCTCCGTCCATGGGATTCTCAAGGCAGAATACTGGAGTGGGTTGCCTTTTCCTTCCCCTGGGGCTGGAGCATGTGCTCAGTACATAAGCCTGTACTCCTGCCTTTGGCAAGTCATCATGCACATTCTCCTTGCCCAGCATTTTACAGAAGCCTTTGATATCTATAAGAAACTTTGGAAAATGAGCTATTGAATTTGGCTGTGCTGTGCCTCACCCGAGATCACCCAACCAGATATCCTTAACCGAAATCAGGTTACTCTGTGTAGATGGCACAAAGTCGAGAGGGGAGAGACTGAGCGATCAGCCCAGGCATCTCCTGGGCAATGTGCACCCAGTTCATATCCCTGTAACCTCTTAACTGTGCCAGGAGGCTGGTGAGCATTGCAGCCAATCATTGCTGTAAAAACCTCCCCCTCAGCCTGTCAATCCCCAGTTCAGATGACTGGGCAGAGATGCCCCTTTCCTTGAGTGTGGGGAGTGGCCTTTGCACCCTGTCATTTTGACCTGCCTGATAAGTCTTGGCTTTCTAGGCTGCTTATATGGTTGCCAGGAAGACAGTTGGTGTGCTACCATTTATGGAAAAATAATGGGGTGGAGAGAGGAATACTGCATTTACATATAAGCATTTGTTTATGGGCAAACTTAGGCAAACTCCAAGAGATGGTGAGGGACAGGGAGGCCTGGCGTGCTGCAG